CAGCAATAAGAGGGAACCTTATAATCTGAGTTTACAGAGCTATAGTGGAATAACAGGGAGCCTTATAATTTGAGATACTAATTTGAGGCTATAGATTGCCGAAAAACTGGATTTGAATTTGACAGACCGAATCTAAAATTTTTAACTTTATGGAAGCTTTAACATCCTGTTTTGTGAAGCATTTTCCTCTTGATGTTTGAACATGTTTTTTTTGAAATCATTACGGGAAATTCATCTTAGATTTTTTTTTGCCCCTTTTGTTTGTCAATGATAGGTCAACATGAAGTCTGTTACGCTGAATGAGCATTCTGCAATGTTAAATGGTTCCGTTGTTGGACTTGATGTTAGACAAGTTTTACATGGGAGTGGCTTTGCGAACCTCCTCAAATTGGCAAATCATCAGTTTTTTCATTGTAAACCCTTAATTGCTGTTTTGGTTGATTGTTACGATACAAAAACATTTACCTTTAAGTTAGGGGATAGCTCTTGTGAATTATATTTTGGTTTAAGGGATATTTTATACATTACTGGTTTGAGGATAGTGGGTAAACCTGTAGTGACAATAGAAGCACGTGGAGAAGATATTGCAAAAATTCTATTTCCTAACATAGAAGGGGTTTATGAAAAGAAGGGCTTTGTGTTGGAAAAGTTAAAAGAACTTGCTATGAGTGATCAACCTTTTGTAATTAGAGTAAGGGCTATAGTTTTACTTTTGTTGGGAACTCTTGTTTTCCCGAACTCTAGCCCAAAACATGTAAAAGGGTTGTATGGAAATTTTTTGATAAATCTTGAAGAGATAAATGATTATGCTTGGGGAGAAGCGTGTCTTGTGGAAATATATCAGAGTTTGCAGGTTTGTAAAGAAACAAGTCAACAAAGAATTGGTGGGTCGATGTCGGCGCTGACGGTATATATTATTATTATTATTATTATTATTATTATTATTATTATTATTATTATTATTATTATTATTGGATTGATGATTATCATGTTTTATTTCATAATCTTTATTAACTTCTAGTTTTCTTTTGGCATTTATTATTCTTTTAGGTTTTTGCTTTGGAACATTTACCCAGTTTGAGGAATTTGTTCGATTTACGTGAACACCCGAAAGAATTTCCGTTGATTATTGGATGGGCTGAAATATTATGGAAGACGATGCACAAAACTCGCAGTGACATTACAACAGAACTTATCCAACAATGTATCAATGGGTTAACTGCTGTAAGTTTTGTTCACCGTATTACTTCCATTTTGTGTAGTTTTATAATACATGGTAGTTTGTTTTCTCAATATTGTTTCCCCTAAAGTTATTATCAGTATATTAGATGCTGCTTTCTCCTACCACATTTATTCCTCGAATATTTGTTGTTTGAGTTTCTTTCTAGTAGACTACTTTAATTTTTGTAGGAGAATATTGTTTGGATGCCCTATTCAAGTACTATGCCATGCTATTTTAAGTATCAAATGCATAGGGAACTAGCCGTTGTCCCTTTGTTCTGTATTGAAAACCATATGTATCATCTCCCATACAATGGAAAGATTCAACTTCATATTGATGAAAATGTGAGTAGGGATATGAAAATTCTATATCAAACCCGAGTGAAGAGTTCATATAGAAAATTTGTTCGTGCTCCGGCTCCAAGAGGTAATGGGAGAAATGATTATTTTAAAATTTGGATACAAAAATTGGGAAATGATGTATTTGATCAGCAAATGCAAATAAATGACCAAAAGTGGATTAGAGTTGATGATGAGGATGTGATGGAGAATAATGTATCAGGTTTTGAGAGTCATAGGGATGTGCATTGAATAAATAACTGGGAAAAACTTGATTTGATGCCCGCTGATTTGGCTAGAGATGTTGAGAAACAGTTTCAAAAGAAGTTATTGATTCTTGATTTGAATGGAATTCTGGTTGAAGTGGTGCATAAACAGAGTGTTCTGGGCCTAAATTTGCATGCAAAATGTGACTATTTAATGATGCATTCTTATGGTAAGATCATTCTACTTTGTGTAATTGAATATCATATCTAACTCAAAACAATTTTGCTTACATATCTACTATATTTTTCATTTCAGTTTTCAAGAGAAAATACAGTGATGAATTCCTTGAATTTTGCTTCGAACGATTTCATGTTGCCATATGGTCATCAAGAAAGTGGTATGATTTAAAAGTATACTTGTTTTTTATATCCATGTAAACTCAATGTCTCAAAACTTTGATTTTCTGCTACTTTGTTTGCAGGAAAAATCTAGATTCTATTTTGCAAAATCTGTTCCCAAGTGCTCGTGATAGATTCATTTGTAGATATGTAAGTTTGTATTATTGAGAAAATTTTGAATTTTACACAAGCTTTAAAATAGTAAGTTTAAATAAATTATTCATAAAAAAACCTGTATGTGGTGAAGAGCACGTATTCGTAGATTAAAATAATTTTATACTAGCCTCACTCTTTCTTCATAGTTCTAAATGGTTACGTTTTTTATTGTTTACAGAGTCAAGAACAATGTCGTAAAAGTAAACCAAGATTTTTGTAAAGATTTGACTCGTATTTGGGTAGATTTACGAGCAATGAAATTTGGGGAATTTGATGAGAGCAATACTTTACTTGTGGACGATTCCGTCAAAAAAAGCGTGAGAAATCTTGTAGGTATTTTTTTTCTTTTTACTATCTAACCTATTTTTTTCTGTGTAACTATTATTTTTATCACGTCGTGTTTCTTTATGATATTTTACGGGCTGGCAATGTAATACATCCAATTACATTTACTTATATAGACAAGGAATTTGATAAACGTTTAGGTGAGATGTATAAAGTTTTATAACTTGTTTCTTTGTGATTATTTATTTAATAATATTTTCACACAATTCTAATTTTAAACAGCTATACACGGTGATTTATGCTCATATCTAAACCAAGTAGCTAAGGCAAAAGATGTTGTAACATTTGTGCGTGAAAATCCATTTGTTGAGGAACCACAGTGGCAGGTTTGTTATGTGAATCTTTTGTTGCCATCATACTCATCCAACACTCTATATGATGCGGGGTAGTTACAGTGCCTTGTAATATATGTGTTCATTTATTCTTATTCCTCATTTATTATATTTTCTTTGCAGCAAAAGAAAATGAGAATCGGAAATTGAATGCATTGAAATGGAGTTCGACTAACCTGTGCTGAAGATTCCTTTGAGCTTCAGTTAGGTTTGAGGTATTGAAACTGACTCTTTTAATTCTCGGATGGCTTTTGATTTATATCCAGGCTGAATTTAATTGTCTGAGAAAATGACATAGGTTGTGCTATTACCTTGAACTACCATGTCTGCATATAGCTCGGGGATCTGAGTTTTTCTGGTTTAATGGATAAGTATTGGATTGTAAAGTGCCAATACATTTCAAGTTCTCTTCTGATTACTTTTTCTCACTCTTTGTTAATGTTTTGATTTTTGAAGATTCATCAATTTTCTGTACTTTAGTTATTATTATATGAACACAGAGTTTCAGGGTAAAGATTTCAATCTGATGCAAGATTTGTTTGAAGTTTTAACTACTTTCATGGAATAGACTTGTAGAAAGGAGTGAAATATAGTGATTTTTATAGTTAATCTTGCTTATGTAGTTAAAACTGTGTATAAACAGATTACAGCTAGCTGTTCTTGGACTTGTAATGTGATGGCAGCCATATTTAGAGGAAGTGATCTGTTTGATTTTCTATGACATGGTCAAAGTTCCTGCAATTTGTTTCTTTCAGTCTGGAACTTGTATTCAGTGTTGTGGGTTTAGCTTAGATACTACTATAAAGCATTTTTTTGTAGGGAAATAAAGTACAGATATGCTGAAATTTTTGCCTCTGATGTCTTAATTTGGCTGGCATTGTTTTTGTTTCCTTTCCAGTTGTGGATATTTGGTTATTTTACACTCACTTTCTGTGAGAGTTGACAATGGGGAAAGCGAGATGGCATTTACAGCTACTTGCGACTTCATCCACAACTTCTTCGTCTGTGAAGATTGCCGGAACTACTTACGATTGAAAGATTGAATGGGATGTGGACGAGGTTTTCAAGTTCTTGGTCAGCTACTACAGAACTACACTAGTTTCTCAATACCCAAGGATAAAGAAGAACTTCTCAATGATGTGAGTAACAAAGTTTTGGTGAAGGATGTGATAGCTACATGAAGTCGATCAAAACACCCTCTCCAATTGTACTCACTTTTACATAGAGCAGTTTGTATATTGATAATATCGAATAAGAAGAAACACGGAATTGAACTAATTCCAGATATGATTTCACATTCAATAAATATTTGGCTGAACCTCTTCTAATTCCGCAATAAAATGTAGGATTTTTCTCTGGAAAACGAGGGTTAAGGCAGGGAGATCCAATCTCCCCGCTGTTATTCGTCATTCTGATGGAGTATCTAACTAGACTTTTGAGAGAAGTTGCTGATCTGCCTGGTTTTCAATTTCATCCCTTGTGTAAAAATATGAGACTGTCCAACATATGTTTCGCTGATGACTGATGATATTCAGTAAGGCTGACCTGGTGACAGTCAAATACATCAAGAAAGCCCTTACTGAATTTTCTAGGGTTTCTGGTTTGAAAGCGAACCTAATGAAATCAGAGATCGAGTCAATACTGAAAGAACCCAAACAATAAAACAAAAAAAGCCAATTTGGATCAAAATAGTGAGTTCAAGAATCTGCTGCTCCCAGTCGTGAAGAGAACATTAGTAAAAAGTGTCGATTACTCGCACAAATTCTTTAATTTATACATTAATGCTACATTGATGAGCACAAATTCTGGCAATCCTACCCCCTTATTTCAGTCTTGTCCTCAAGACTATTACAAAATGATACTGGAACAATTGATAACAGTAGCCTAATGCCTTATTCCTAACAACAGCTAAACCAGAGACTATCACAGAATGTAACAGTAAATAGTAGAAATAAAAACAGGGACAACTACATCAAAATTGAATGAACTTGAAAGAAAGTCTTCACTGCTTGGCATCAATCCAATCTGAAAACAGCAACTGCAAGTTGATCTTCCTGGAAACTGAAACAGCCACCAAAGCTTGATCACCGCATCTGAATAGACATTCAGACAGAGTACTTCCCGCTGATATACTTCGCCAAGCAATCATCCAAACCAAAGATGACCGGTCAAGTGATATTAAGTGTGTCCTGTAGCCTTCGACAACTAGGGTACCCCCTCTGAAACTCGTAGCCAACTGAACCCAAACCCTCACTCTCAAAAGCATCGTTCCACCTCTAAAAATAGTGGCAACCAATGGCCAGGAAACATATGCCCTATTTGTATTCTCTTGCAACATTCCAGTTCCGTTCAACACAGTTACCAAGCTTCCTTTATCCAACAGGGCACCAAATTCAACTTCACGAAGGTCATCAACTAGAGTCGAACTCCATTCATCAACTAACAGCTTAACTCTAGCACTACTTTCATTTTTTGTGGTGCCACCTTTAAAACCAGAAACTAGCTCAGGCCAACATTGAAGTCTTCGTTTAGCAGAAGAGACGGTTCCTCCACTAAAACAGGTCGCCAGTTTATCCCATGACCTAATCAGATTTCTCAGTTCAACACTATACATGCTATTAATACTGCCTTCCTTCTCAATCAAATAATCAGAACCATACGGAGGATCTTCTAACAGGCTCCTTGTTTATCAAGAGATGCTACAACAATATCAACAACATTGATATCAACTTCGGAAACCGTTCCACACTTATCAATAACAACTGAACCCAACATCAACCTCACCTTCACTTTCACCATCATTCAATTTCTCACAGGCATAATCTGATTCACATTCACTATTATAACTCTCTTCAACAGTAAAAGTATCAAGAAAAGACATATCATCATCGTATTCTTCAAAATCACCATCTAATATAGCAGAATCATCATCAGAATCTTCATCAAAACTGGGAAATGAATTGTTACCTTGTTCTGTAGGATACGAGAACCAGGATTCAGAAGAATCGGTAACCAACTCCTCTGTTTCTTGAACGGCGAATTGACGAAGAAATTCCTCCCAGAAATCGTCCCAAGCCAACTGTTCTTCCTCTACCATAAGATCTTGATACCAATTGTCACAATCCGGTGACGGAAATGGAGGAATCCGGCGAAGGGAAAGGACGGGACAAACCCTGAATTGGGAAAACCCACACAATTCTGAAAATACCAATTTCAATATTCAACTATTTGATATTCATTTTACAGACCCTCAGGACTATATATAGTCCCACCAATTTCTAAAACTACAAACAGGCCCCTATACTATCGACAAGTCCTAACTAGACCCGAGGTCATGACATAGCATGAGTCCAGGACCTAGACTTCAGTATTATAATACATTTACTAAGGGATATTTATGTCTTTTTGGGCAATAAGACATGAGTCCAGGACCTGGACTTCAGTAGTATAATACATTTACTAAGGGATATTTATGTTTTTTTGGGCAATAAGACATGAGTCCGGACCTGGACTTCAGTATTATAATACATTTATTTACTAAGGGATATTTATGTCTTTTTGACAGTTGGTATGATGTTTTGTTAAGTCTATAATTTTGAGTTGGCCATTTTTTTTTTTGAGAAGAATTTTAAGTTGGCCTTTTGTGAAACTATTATGTTTTTTGTTTTTTCTGAAAAAAAAAACACTTCAAAAAAGACATATGACTTGATCACTTAATATCTCTACAAATTAAGTAAAAAGTTCTATTTTACTTATAATTAAATAGATCAATCACTCATTTTCCTTAATTTTCATTTTGGGTTTACGTCGATGATGAAAAAAGTCGTTGTTTAAAGGTTTTACGGAATGTAAACATAGAGCTTAAGTAAATATATGTTAATTTGAAAATCACAATCAAGAAAAAAATATTGAAATAATTACTGTTTAAATGAATTACAAAAAGAGTTAACATGCACTAAAATGTCCTTATGAAATATGGGTAGGATTTGTCGAATTTTTTTCCGCCGTTCACCTTTTAATGTGCAACTAAAAATTCTAGGCCATCACGAGGGGATCTTCATAAATTAGGGGGAATCCATATGAACCTGAGTAAATTTTCAGAAAATAATTTTAGATTTAATTATTTACTTAATCCTTGAGGAAAAACTTAGTCAAAGGATTAATTTTGAGAAATCAAATCCAACAAATTAAATTGGAAGCTAAAATAATGGAACAAAATTTTATTAGATATTATCATTTACATTTCGGTTTCAACTGAAAATTAAAGTGGCCTAGATATTGGGTTATTTTGTTGGATTTAATAGATACTATAGCCTATATAAATTTATGAAAACTTAGAAAAATAAAATCTTACTCCATTTACCTATAAACATCGAGATTACTCCATCAGGATATAAAAGAAAAGAAACCACCAACCACAAAACTCATATATTCTCTAGCTTGAAATCAATACGTAGCTACTTTGCACGTGGAATTGAAGACATATGAGGAAGTTAGCAAGTACTGTAACTTAAGAGGTAAGATCATCGAGCACTTCATTATATGTATGAGAGTTAGTTCTTTTTTTTTTTTTTTTGAGGTTAACAGTTCAGATGAAGATGGAAAGAAGCCACCTAGGGAGGTTCCGAGAAATGGCTCCTCTGCTGCCGTTGTTGGGCTGTCTGACATGATCGCAATTTGCAGAAAGATAGAAAAACACAAAAGACGGGATTCTTGAGGAGTATTTTTCCGGATTAGGTAAACTCTTCTATTTTTGTACTACTACTTTGTGGAGTTGTCTTTTCCAGCCATACACAATCAAGAATGTTATAGATGTTCGTTAATTCATGGCTTCTGTATCTTATGTGTTGATGATGAATTCATGACGATAGATAGCTACTGGGTTTTATTTGTGACAAAAAAAAAATTGTATGAGAGTTAGATCATTTGTTAATTGTATGATGATAAAAAATGTTGCAGTTAATATTATCTCGGAGTCTTCGAGTGAACTCAAACAACGGAAAGGTGCGGGGTTTTACCGCGAATCTTTCTAAAACGGGTTTTAAAATTCTTTACTCTTGTATATATATTTTTTCTTTTGTGGAATGATGTTTGTGGCTACCGTACTTTTTACTCTCAATTGCCTACAAGCCGTGGATTACCGTTATTATTGTCCTTGTGATTTTGATTTTCATTGTCTGTTATTGACAAAGGTTTACTTTCATCTTTCTATTCGTGATTAGATTATAATTTTTTTTTTTTTGTGAAACTTAGATTTGTTGATGATGATGATGATCAATGGTGATTTTTATATTCGATCATGCCAAAAGAAACAAAAAAATTAATCCTAATTTGATAAATAATACGACCGGAACATTCATAGTATGTTAATTTGTAGGCCATCAAAAGAGAATGGCTCTCCTTAGAATAAGTATCACAAAATGATCCCAAAGTCGGAGGAGGTGATACTAAAATTACCATATCCTTGGGGTTTTTCCTTTTCATTCTTGATATGATTTTCTTTTTTTAGAGGTTCTGTTTCTTGGACTGCTACTTGTTAATGGCGTTTGCTGCTTTTTTTTGTTATTCGTGTTTCTATAATCTTAATATTCTAAATGTCATAATCTTATTTCTTGAAAAATCTTACAATGAATTTGCTGATAAATATTAACTTTTCTTGCGAGGTGATATCTTTTTTCCTCCCATTAGCAATTTTTAGCCTTTTTAAAACTATATGGTGATTGGACTTTACTTCGTGAACTCAACTGCTTTGTTAATTGTCAGTTTACTTCTACGCTGTCTCCTCCAATTACCAATTTTTTTTTTTTTTGCTAAGCAATACTCCCCTATGCCCATGGTGTAAAGCACCAATTCTGAACTTGTAAAACTTTATGGGAATGTGATTTATTTGTTTATTATAAAATTTTATTTGGATTAAAATAAGTCAGTTTAATTTCGGTTGTTTATGGTGGGAAAGAATTTTTATTTTATTTTTTTATTTTATTATTTTTTTTTGTAGGTTTTATCAACCACATTAACTGTGTTGACAATTAAAATTTATCCCAATGTCTTCCCCAACGAACGATGATGGCCAAACTGAAGAGAAGGATGCATTTGTGGTGCAGTCAGAAGATGATCCGATCAATGTTTCTTCGAGTACGGATATGGAGGTTGACAATGAGAAGGGTGAACTACCCCAAAATGAAGATGACATAAGTACATTACCAATGGCATCTAACCAGTGGCAGGATGATTTGAAAGAAGAAGAGGTGATGAAGATGACTTTTGACACTATAGATGACGCTGAAGCATTTTACAGAACATATGCAAAATGTTTGGGATTTGGTATTAGGATACAAGATGGGAAAAACAAAGATGATGGCAATATTATTTTCAAACTTTGGGTTTGTAATAAAGAAGGACAAAGGAGAGACCGGACAAGCCAGGAAGAGGATATACATGGGGTTTGTGATCTAGATGGCGAAAGTGAAGAGAACCCAAACAACACACCAAAGAAAAGAAGGCCAAAGCCATACACCAGAGTTGGATGCAAAGCTAGACATCGAGTGAGATACATGAATGATGTGGAAACATACATTGTCACACACTTTGTAAAGGAGCATAACCATGAGATGCTTAGTGAAGAGTGTGTTCCTTTTCTTCGATCACATAGATCTGTTCAAGATATGGACATAGCTCAGACCTCTTCAATGCGAGCAATAGGTTGGCGACCAAGTGATATAATGAAATACTCTGCTCTTCAAGCCGGGGGATACCATAAGGTAGGATACACTCTTAAAGATTTGCATAATGTCATGGCTGCTGAGGAACAGAAACAACTTAAGGATGGAGATGTTGAAGGTGCGTTAGCTTATTTGTGTGTATAAAAAGATTCTGACCCGTTAATGTACTATAAACATGATGTGGATGATGAAGGTGGACTTTCAAAATTATTTTGGTGTGATTCAAGGTCCATTAGTGACTACAAGGTTTTTGGTGATGTGTTGATGTTTGACTCCACATATCGTACCAATGTGTACGGTAAACAATTGGTTATTTTTTCTAGTGTCAACAACCATTATATGACAATAGTTTTTGGTTATGCATTATTATCAGATGAAGTTGAGGCATCATATGTTTGGGTTTTGCAAAGATTATTGGAAGCAATGGGTGGGAAGAAACCAGATGCAGTAATTACAGACGGAGATGATGCAATGAGAAAAGCTATTGAGAGGGAATTCTCTGGAGTGAGGCATAGGTTATGCACTTGGCACATTCAAAACAATGCTTTGGCTAATGTTCGATCTAAAGAATTCAGGGATAGTTTTGGTAAATTCATAAAACTGAAGGGCACAGAAGAAGAATTTAAGAATAAATGGAAGGAACTAGTTGAAGAATGTAGCTTGCAGGATAATTCTTGGTTTAAAGATATGTATGAGAAACGGTCAAAATGGGCAGACGCCTACCTAAGGGGACATTTTTGGGGAAACATGAGAGCAACATCCCGGTGTGAAGGCATGAATGCATTGTTCAAAAGATATTTGCATTCGAAGATGAGATTGTATCAATTCGTGAGATCTTTTGAATTCGGTTTGGTAAAGATGCGAAATAAGGAGGTAAAAGCAGTCACGTCACATGTAACACCAAGCCAGTTTTGATCTCTCCCTGGCCTAATTTTGAGAAGGACATAAGCGATCTATGTACAAGGAATGTGTTTTTTCAAATTCGTGAAGAACTGGAAGAGGCGGCGATGCTGATTCCTAAGCTTATTCCAGAGACAGGTTCTTCTAAGGTTTACGAAGTGACATCATACTCAAACTCTTCAGCTTGCTGGAACGTTTCATACAATGTTGACGAAATTCAATTTCGATGTTCTTGTGTAACCTTTGAAACTGCTGGGTGGCCCTGCTCTCATATATTTTCAGTGATGAAATCTGAACGTTTGCAGAAGTTTCCTTCACATTGTGTACTTAACAGATGGACGAGAAATGCAAAAGAATATGCCAATGGTGGTATTCAAGGTTCTATTCCTAAAAGTCTTACTCAGGCTGCAAGATTCGGGGTATTAAGCGGAGTGCAATCAAATTTGTTATTATGCGTCAGTTTGTGACGAAGGGTATGAGACATTAACACCAATATTAGCAGACCTCACTGAGCGTATGAGGGTGATATCTGAAAAGGCCAATGCACCAGACAATGATATTGGCAGCTCCCACGTTGCGAAGAAGGCTCGATTTGGAGTTTGTGATCCAGCACAGACAAAAACAAAAGGTCGTCCAGTAAAAGCAACTGGTTCAACCCCAACTCCGAAGAAACAGCGAAGATGCAGTATCTGCGAGTAAATACTTCTGACCTTTTTTTGATATTGAAATTTTGTTTCTTAGTTATTTAAAGAAATATATCTAATCTTTATTCTTTTTCATTCATCAGTATATTGGGTCATAAAAAAACAACTTGTCTAATGAAAGGAACAAACAACCAGAACAACAATGTGGCAAGTCAGGTCGAAGAATCTGATGCAACTTGAGTTTGCTAAGATATGGTGAGTTTATAATAGAGAAAAATTATTGATACATTTGTGCAGTTTAATTTTTTATACATATGAATTAATTATATCATATTCGGCATTGACTAGGAAGATGCATGGGAAAAGAGGTTGGAAGAGTTGAGCAAAAGGAAGATGTACTTGTGAAATAAACGTAATATATGCCATTCATTTGACACTACCGCTCTAGCTGATTTTGTTTGAAATTTAAGATTACTGAAGTTTGAATGGCCTATGAGTTTATTATTTATTTAAAATATTCACATTGGATTTTTTTTGTTGTTGAAAATTTTCATTGATCTATGTCATTTAAGATGGCTGAAATATTTATATATTTGATATTCACGTTGAATTTTGGCTGTGTCACTTGTATTGTTTTTTTCTTTTTTGAAAATTTTTATTGACATATGACGTTTAAGATGGTTGAAATATATATTTGAAGAGATATCCGAGCTCAATTGCAAGCATCTACATTATTTAAATGCCTTTTAAACAAAAAATAAAAACAATCATCTTGTTACAATTTTTTTAATATAATCTTTTTGTTGTTACTTTACCTTTTATATAAGTGATGAAAGGCTTGTTAGAAGCAACACACATAATATACACATCAAGAAATTTGTCATCTTTAATAAGTACGAGCAACACCATACACAATGGCTTCAAAAGAAACAACAATATAATATATTAAGGACTAGCGAAGTTTAAAACCAAAAAAAAGGGTATCATTACAAAGCCTTAAATATGAACAATAACCACTAACACATTCTTCTAAAATGTTGATGTCCAAAAAACTCAAATAATCCTTAGAATATGAAAACACAGAAAATTGCAAATAATTCAAACACTACTTCCATTTTGATCACTACTCCAAAACATGAACTTCTTAGATGCCCAAATTCTGGAACAACCTCTTCCTACAATCATTTTGATCATGGAAAATAATTTTTGACTAACAAATCCATTCGATCCAATTCCGAATTCAAGCTAAAAGAGACCCCTTCGTCCATAATAAAATAAAGCTCCATGAATTTGATCACGTACATTCCACAATCGTACCTGTTTGAAAGAAAAATATATTTGTTCTTTTACTATGATGATCATAAGTTCGTAGAGTTTTTCAAACTTACAAAAAAAATAAATATATTTTTAATTAAGAACAGAATAAAACTCACCAATTACATTGTTTAGGAAACCAGTCTGGTACCTCAATTGGAAAAGAGACGATGTTGCCTTTGTATGTGTTGCCAAATCCTATTTCAAGTACATCCTGCAACACTTTAACCTTTTCATAGAAAAATAATATGTTAGCAAACATGGAGTTGTATAAATGAACAAATATAAGAATTTTGTTTTATTAAATATTTGCATACTACAAATTATTACCTTTTTTACCACCAATGCTTTTCTTTGATCACAAGAAGATGCCATTGAATCTAGCATTGAAACACGCCTTTCCTCGAAATTAATCATACATCCATACCAATGGTGGCCTCCATCATTTATTGAAATGAACATTTGTTATTTGTATACATTCAAATAAAACAAGGGAAAGTAAAATAGAGTATACATTTTTTAATTACCAAATCAAAATGTAAACTCTAATCTTTTCAACTAGAAATTTCGTATTTAAAAAAAAAAGACATGGTACCTTTTCACAGCTATGAATGTCACTACCATAAGTATCTTGCATCAAATATTTTTTCCATATCTTCTTTAACACCTTATCATCTCTAACATCCGACTTTAATTCCTCCTGCAACAAAAAATAAACAATTATAAATATGTTAACCGTGTTGCAATTTTAATAATGAAAAATTCTTTAAATTAATACCGCGATATAGTGTGGCAAAAACCAAACACGGGATTGCCCCTTTCCCCACACGGCATGTTGTTTCAGAGTTTGAATATTGGTGAAAATATTTATAACCTACAAAAAATTAACGTCAACTTATTTTAAAATGACTATCAAAATAATTAATAATTTGTTCCTTTTAAATAACAATTACCTCAGAATTCAACCATTCTTCGGGTTTCAATGTGACCAACAAAGCACGAGTCACAGTTTCCATATAAATTTTAGCTAAACACTCGCTACAAGAGAGAATTTTCAGATAACCAATTAGGTGTGTAAGACATGATTAAATATAAATTGATATACATGCATACGAAGAACATATAAAACATTGAACTTACAGTGAGTCCCCTTCATTAAACACATATTGAATCACTTTTTGCTGTGGTCTATCAAAGTAACCTGAAATCTCCTGCAAAATTATACACAATAAGCAAATACAAATTTTTGATAAATAAAATACTACAACAAAACATTATAGCATAACTTTATGACATCTTGCATATTCACCATTGGTTCTGCCTCTAAGTTGCCTTCTGCCACCTAGAAATGTCATAATAACTATCATATTATACTTAAAATTAACAAACATCAAACAATTTACCCGAAGTTCAGGACATGGACTCCTCGAGTGGCATCCCCTGTTACAGAAGTCACATTTAAGGAGTGCTTGTGGACAATGATCAAAATCATGTCCAAATACATCGTGATATTCACAATACGGCGCATTCTCATCAAATGGTTCGGCTTCTTCTAATGGTGAACTAGTTGTGAAGATGACCTAAAAGAATAAATTATTATGAGTACTATATCATTACCAAATATGATACTTAACAACAAAGGTAAATCGATACATTTTCTTTGCAAAGTGGTGGTGCCTTTGATGTGTTGATTACCTACAAATCATATAATATTGTCAGACCTACCAAGATTAAACACACTAAAAAACTAAAATTCAAAAATATATACATATATATTTTAATCTAAACTTGTATTCAAATTAAACAAACCTTCTCATCCTTAACTATCTTTGTATCAATGATACATACATCTGCTTCTTCCCATTCTGAGCAACTCTTTGTCTTAGCAGTTGCATCCTTTGGCCCTTTATTATTCATTTTCAAAGTTTGTACTGGTGCAGCTAATGTGTTCATTACCTACGAATCAAAAGATATTATGAAACCTTCAATAAAAACAAGATTAAAACACTAAACAAGTAAAAGTCAAATATACATATAGTGAAATTCTTACTCATATTTTAACACACCTTCTCATCATTGGTTTCATTCCAAGATTGATCCATTTCAATGAATTCGATATCTGCTTCAACCAATTCAGGACAACTCATTTTCTTTGTAGTTGCATCCTTTGGTTCCTTACTTTTCACTTTCAAAGATTTGGATTTACTACTGTGATGCAAGTTATGGCTTCTTTCTAATTGTTTCATTGTGGAAATACTTGAGGGTGATACAAACTGTTTTGACCTGATTCCTAAAAATTCACTCAATGAGAGTATAGGAGCTTTCTCCGGGGTAGTATATTTCGTACTTTCTCCCAAGTTAGCACTCAAAAGGAATTCAGGATTTGGCATAACCCTTCTAGACTTTCTTGGAGGAGCCAAATGATTTGGACCATCTTGTGGATTTAATTTTGTTGACCATCCTGTAGACAATATAGCTGGACCATCCTGTGGATTGGACGCATCCTTTTCCTGAGCAAATCTTGGAAGTGAATCTGGTTCCATGGATAGAGGTCCAGAAGAGAAGTACCTAAAATAACAAAAAAACCATACGTGTTGGCACTCTTATACGATAAATCTTTTAGTCAAACAAGCTAGATAGGTTTAGCTGATTCAAGTTACACTATATCAACTTTTCAGTAAATCAGTCTGGTTAGAGTATTTAAATTCAGAACAAAAATAAAGAGCTTGTTTGATGATCCTTGACTACCGAAATAATCTTTATCAAACGTAAACAAAATCTACGATAAGTACATTCAGGAATCATCCCAAACCAGCTACAAAATTCAGAAGTACATTCGAAAAAATATCCCAAAACAGCTGCACAATTCAGAATTTCAACATTGACATGTTATGCTGAAATGAGTTTTTTCTTTTTTTTTAAAAAAAAAAAAACAGATTATGATTCCATGTAATGGTCCATTAAAATTGAATCTATTTATATTGAGCATACAATAGTTTCATGGAAAAAGAACTTAACAAAAATCTTCTTAATAGTGGGGAACCAATGTTCCAAATCAGCAGCTCACGCTAAAGTATTTAATGATTTTCAACAGGTCTTGAGAAATTTCAGAAATTTTTAAACCATATTCCTGCTTCATTATGAAACTTTGAAGAATCAGACAAAATTTGACACACAAGAAAAAATTCAATAACCTTAATCAAATAATGCTTGCAAACATAAAGAGCCACAACCATAAATTCACACAACCATATGAAGAGTACCTATGTTCTAATGCTTGTTGTGCTGAAATCCTGGTTTCTGGATCATAAGTGAACATCTTTGATAAAAGATCCAAGGCATCATCAGTAGCCATTGGAAAAAGTGTGTGGAGTGGTTGCCTAGCAACATCTTTATATTCCAAAAAATGAGGCAAATACATCATTCCTGATTACTGTGAAGGCTTTGGAGTTCCAAAAGTAGCAAAGATCTTCCCCAGTTGATCAATATCACTATTTCCCTGTAGCATGTTTGGTACGAAGAGAAGATAACATGTTCAGCACGAAAAGGTCAAAACGGGAATGCTTTTCAACCATGTAGTTGTTAACTTGTATTCAAGAAATTTCATTCCATCAACAAATCAACTTGACGTGTTGTATTATCTTCATCTTTCAATTCAAACAAGTGAAACAAAGCCATCCAAGATTTCAAGGTAAAATGGAGAAAAATACAACAAATGTCTACAACAAGATTAAACATTGTCTTTCACAAAGGATTTGAAAATTAAAGAGAAGGAGGAAGGTAGCAGCTTATATACTTTTTTTTTAATCCAATTAGTTGGGTAGATTGTAAAGAAATCATAAAATTGGGGCACATATATGTTTTAACTTCCACCAATGCAGTAAAGCATAATCTCAACCAATAAGTAATGCACGCTCATATTGCTTCTTGAATTCAAGCAAGAAGGAACGCTAACAAACTATTCATTTGAAAAACATAAATAATTACTCATAATTTAAACAAGTCAATTAGATGGGCTATTACAAGCTATCCAATTTCTCAGGTGTTAGTCATTGTAATAAAATTTTACCTACATGAATGGACGTCGCAATAAAAGTTCAGCAAATATACAAGCGGCAGCCCAAATATCCACGCTTGGACCGTATTGGTTTGAACCAAATAATAGCTCTGTTGCTCTGTACCAACGGCCAAATACCTATACAAATGCAATTATATGTGCTAAAATTTAGTATTTTTCCATCTGCAGCGTTAAAATGTTAGGATAAAAAAATAACTAAAACTCTGTAAAAGGGTTTAGGCACAAGGAAAAATGATGCTTTAATGTTAACTCTGAATTTAGCACAAAGATGAATAAAAGGCCATATTGAAAGCACATTTTGTAGCAAATCGTTCATTCTTTTAGCAAGATTTTAAAACAATGATAATCCAGCATAAACAGAGATGAATTGTATCAATAGAACTCAGGCAACAAGATTAAAAAATCTGAGGACAAGAGCCTCCAAAACAGCTCAAACCAGGTTTTTTCGACTGAAATTTGGTGATCGACATGTCCTGTTTAAACTGAATTTTTGCATAGTCTATAACTCCGTTTTGAAATCCGTAAAATCCACATTAAACTACAATAAATGAAGAAGAGTTCCAGAAAAAAAAAACCCCAAAAAAGAGTTCATGATCTAAGAGAAACAAGCCTACTAACAGAGGGACTGAACCTGATTTTTCTGCACTTTTCAGGGATGATTATGTCATGTTTAAATCAGATTTTCGCACAATCTAAAAGTCCGTTTTATAATCCAAAAAAACCAAACTAAACTAGAGTAAATATAGGAAGACATTCATATAAATAAATTATATAAAAGGATTTGAAAAATAGGAGAACATGGATGCTCAACAGTCGGACTCAAATATGATTTTTTCATAAATTATTAGACAAACATGTCTTCTTTCCAATTACCTGCGATCACTTCCAAACCAATCATAACTTCTTAGATCATTCATTATTCAATTCCATATTCTATGAAAAAATTTGAGTAACTGAAAATGGCATTGAGTCCAAGAATCAAACATTTAGCTAGCATACTTCTCTATGCCATTGGACATTACCAATTCACTTAATCAATTAAAATAATATAAGACTAGAAGCATCATCACTCTCATTCATCTTCTCTTTCTAAGGTAGATAACACGTTCATCTAGGGCACTTGATGGAAACAACAACAATTAGGATTTTCAACACTAAAAACAGTCAATCAATTACGGATAACACAATAACAACAACCAGCATCTATCATTCTTTTATCTTTTCATTTCCTCTGTTTTATTACCTTGGCCATAGGCCTCCCCTCCACCCTTAAAGAATGAAACGTACTTGGTGACCAAAAATCTTGTCTGGACTTCCAAATATCCTAGCCAAGCCAAAGCCGGCAAGCTTCAGCTGTCCGCGAGGTCCAATCAGTAGATTATCTGGTTTTAAATCCCTGCAAACAATGAAACCCGATTACAATAAAAAAAACCTAAGAAGAACCTTGCTGACCAACATTAGGAATGGACTTCAGAAGAAACTTACAAATGTAGAATTCCTTTCTTATGACCGGATGCCAGCCCTTTCAAGGTCATCTGAATATATGACCTAATATCAGTTGCCGAAAGCACAATATTATGATCACGAATTACATCCCCTAAATCTTTCTCCATGAACTCAAACACAAGATTCAAACTCCCTTTATGAGGAAAAACATCAATGAGCTCAATTATATTCGAGTCCTTGAGCTCTTTCAACAGATTAGTTCCTTAAGATCCTTGATTTTAAACCCTTCTGTCTGCTTCCCGATCCAAATTTTATTAATTGCCACTGTCTGCCCTGTCTGCAACGCCAAATATATAGTTTCCATTTTCAGCAATTAATATGATTAAAAACATTTAAAAATGTTCATCCAAAACAAAGAACACCCAAATAATTTTCTATACAAGTCGATTTCTTTCAAGTACATTTACAAACATATTAACAGAATTACATAATTCATTGATTCCTTGGCATATGATTAAATTCTGAATTCTCATTAAATTCATTTGTGAAACAGCAAATGCACCACTATCCAGTTTGGGATGCAGAGTTACAAAGCCTCTATCCTTTGGAATTTCAACAAGGACGAGCATCAACATCTTTACTGTCTCAGCCATATACAGGTGTGTGAAATACTAAGTTACAAATTCACATTTTTATCAAAAAAAAAAAAACATTACTACTGTATCTTTAGCTAATAAAATCAATTAATATGATTTTACACCTTGCAGGTTTGGATAGGGGAAACAATGTAAAGGTAGAGATGTGAATCAGAAAAGATGACGAAATGCCTATTATGAGTTGAATCACTAACCCTGATTCATTTCCTCAATTTTAAGTACATAAAGTAAACATTACATGCCTGCCAACTAAAAGTATAATCATAATTACAATATAAGTGCCCTGCTGCAACCTGGGAATGTTAGATTATAGTTATCAGTAGTTCTGGGGAGCTACATCAAAATACCAAATACTAAGATTATTCTATGCATTGAGACATAATAGTAGATTGAGAGCTTGTGTGGACATAATCTTATTTTGTATCTAATCAAAATACTTCCAAATCCAATACAATTGTACAAGAAACATAAGAAAAAAAAAAAAAAAACCTTAAACATCAAATTAAAAAGAAAGATGAACATCAAATCAAAATTTAGAAGAGCAGGTTGTACCTTAGTGTCGAATGCTTTGTAAACAACACCATATGTGCCTTCACGAAGGACTTCCTGTTTAAGGTAACGATAAAAAATCTTCTTGGTTTCCACCTCCAACATTCTTATTGACAAATGTGCTCATTAACCTAGACGTGTGCATTAACTATTAGTCCAATCAAAGAAGGTTTAGTTCACATCAAAACTCCAAATACTTACTTCTTGAAAAATTAAAATTAAAGAATCATTGTGTCACACGCAAGATATACAACGGATTAACGGGAGCCGAAGTGAAGGAAGGATTGAACATCAATAGTAATTCATTCAAGTTTCATTCAAGTTTCAAAGGTTCAGAAATCAACAGAAATAAATCTCCTAAAACAACATATCAAACCAGGATTTTTTTTACTTTAACTTTCAGATTTTAGGTCATGTTCAAATCGAGTTTTCTTTCAAACCATAACTCCTTTTTACGAGCCGCTAAAATTGAAATAAACCACTTCAAATGTAATATATTCCCATGGAAAGAAACCTCAGAAAAAAAATAAAATAATAGGATTAATTAACCCCTAAAGATAACATCAGAATCTGGATTTTAGACTTTCAGTTCAGACTTGTACTGTTCAAATCAAGTTTTCGGACAATCCACAGCTCCGTTTTGAAATCTGTAAAAACAGGAATAAACTACACTCAATGAGGAAGATATTCATATAAAAAAATCCTTGAAAAAGTTAGCGAACTAAGAAAAAAAGGTCTTGCAACAGAGGACTGCAAATCTGATTTCGGCACTTCCTAAGTATGCATACTCTGCTTAAGCAAGTTTCTTGAGATATACATACCTTTTCAAGTCATTAAAATTGTGAGAAACTATGATAGGTAAAGAGAGATTTCACAAAAAGAAAACAGATAAAAGGTTCAGAAATCAACAGAAATAGATCTCCTAAAACAGTACATCAAACCAGATTTTTTTTACTTTAACTTTCAGATTTTAGGTCATGTTCAAATCGAGTTTTCTTTCAAACCATAACTCCTTTTTACAAGGCGCTAAAATTGAAATAAACCACTTCAAATGTAATATATTCCATGGAAAGAAACCTCAGAAAACAAATAAAATAATAGGATTAATTAACCCCTAAACAGAACGTCAGAATCTGGATTTTAGACTTTCAGTTCATAGTTGTACTGTTCAAATCAAGTTTTTGGACAATCCACAGCTCTGTTTTGAAATCCGTAAAAACAGGAATAAACTGCACTCAATGATCAAGATATTCATATAAAAAAATCCTTGAAAAAGTTAGCGAACTAAGAGAAAAAAGTCTTGCAACAGAGGACTGGAGATCTGATTTCTGCACTTCCTAAGTATGTATACTCTGCTTCAGCAGGTTTCTTGAGATATACATAGCTTTTTAGAAAATAACATAGGCACACAAAGAGCGTTTTACAAAAAAAACCTGAATATAAATGACTAAAAGACATGAGAGTTGAGTTCTCCCAAACAGTATATCAAATCTGAATTTTGTACTCATGGGACTGAATTCTTATCAGCCATCATCTTTACCGCTAACTTTCTTTCAATGTAGGAACTAATGCTAATGTACTTCTGCCAAAAAAAGCCATTCAATTCATCAAAAAACACAACTTCGATATATACTGAAACTCAACACGATGATCCAATAAAATCAACAAGCTTTGTAATAATCCCATTAAAAAGGGAAAAGGAAAAACACAAGACACCGAGGCCTTCAATTCAATGAGCGAAAATTAAACCACAAAGCAAAGAAGCATAAGAAGCTCATCAAAAACACAACTTCGATGACCTCAGCTTCCACATAGTCGGATTGAATGTTTATAACAGAAATTTAGATGATCACTTACCAAATTGCCTTTAAAATTGTTTGCCCGCCTCAAATAGCTTCTCAAGTTTAAGTAAAGATTTCTCCTTGCCAGCCTCTGAATTGATTGGATTCGGCTGCATATTAAGGAATTATATATAGAGAAGAGATGGAATTTCATTGTTGCCATCACAACCGGCGTAGGAGAAAGTGAGATCGTGCTCCGAAATGTCGCCGGTGAGAGAGTGTTTCAATTCACAGTTCGCGAAATTTTTATTTTTCCTCCCTTTTAATCGGTTGTGTAGTAATTTAATTAAACAGTAATAAACCGGTAAAACCAGTACCAGGTTTATTTTTTTTAATCAAGTGCATTTAGGCGTATGCCTTTATAATACACCTTTATTTTAATCCAACGGTTGGTAATTAATCTAATTAATCCTACGGTTATTACCCGTAAACGGAACCATCCCGTTATGGGACTCTAGGCGCTCCCATATATATATATATATAGATAATAACCGTATGATTAATTAGGCTAATTAACAACCATAAAATTACAATGAGGATGCATCATAGGTACATATACCTAAACACACCTGATAAACTGAAAAAATTAGAGAAATTAGTTAATTTTGTCCAAAGCTTTAATTGTCTAGCCAATTTGACCCAAAAAAATTTTTGCGAAGCCAAATCCATCATTTAAGTTTCAATTTCTGGCCAATTTCATCCAATTAACAAAAATTTCGTTAGACTTAACACCTCCGCTGACATTCCGTTACGGATAAAATGACGGTTCTACCCAAAATTTTAACCGCGTCGTTAATTTTACCTCATTGATTTTTTATTAGCCAATTTTGTCCTTTACTTTTGAAATTTTTGCCAATTTCATCGAATTGGCCCAGTTTCCGTGAAATTTAAGGGATTTCAGTTAATTTTTAACAAAAATATATCTTAATAGTATCAAAAAATTATAAAAATAACCCCAAATATGTAAAATCAACAAAATAATCTCTTTTATTTCTCTTTATTACTTTTTATAACCATCAAAATATATTATAAGATCTTTAAATAATAAGTATTTATTTTCAAACTCTATTTTTCATGTGCAAACATGTGAGTTTGGTTCAGAAGTAATTTTGTCATATTTTTAACATTTTTAATTATTATTTTTTATTTATTATTCTTTTTCTTATACTTCCTGACTTGTATCTGTTGCTACTGGTATAATTATTAAATTTCATTAATTAATTTACTTTTTATTTCATAGATTATAAAAAAAGTTTAAAAAAATAAAGAAAATGAGGAAGAAAAAATCGAGTTGAAATAAATATAAAAATTAATAGTTTTTCATTCTAAACAAAAAAAATCTAAAAAAAATTTGCTAAGACAAATCTTTCCTCCTTGACTTCTTGTAATTCATAGGTAAGTTACAAAATATAAATTTTAATCGATCTAGTCTAAAATGATTATTTTGTTTGTGATAGTAAAAATAATATAAAAAATAGATAATCATTTGAAATAGGAAAAGGTGCTAATTTATTTAGTCCACGACGATGAATTGATTTAAATTTGGTTAACGCAGTTTTTATTCTTTTTTAGTAATTGTTGTTGTTACTTTGCCAATGGATAAACTATATAAGAAATCATTGAATTTCATGACAAAGATAAATACATGTATTTTTTAACAGCATATTTTTATATATTTTTTTAAACCTCGAAATTGAATTACAAAAGGTAAATTTTTTTCTTGAAATATAGTAATTATACTAGTGCCAACATATACAAGTCAGAGAGTACAAGAAGAAAATTGTTAAAAAAATAAAATAAAACAAATTAAAATTTTTAAAAAATATAAAAAGACAAAATAACCTCTAAACCCAACTCAAGTGTGTTGCACATAAAAAATATTGTTGAAAATAAATAATTATTTTTAAGATCATATAGTATATTTTGATGGTTATGAAAAGTAGTAAATAGAAATAACATAAATAGATTAAAATGAATACAAGTGAAAAGGGGGTATTTTGTATTTTTACATTTTTTTAAGCAAGAAAAAGGATAAAAACAACATTCAGGTTCCGGATAACTCAAAAAATATTTTGTGAGTTATCTTTATAATATTTTGAAACTATTGGGGTATTTTCGTTAAAAACTAATGGAGATCCGTTAAGTTTAACGGAAGACCAATTTGATGAAATTGACAAAAATTTCAAACATAAAGGACAAAATTTGACACTAAACAAGAACTGTAAAAGAAAGAAGAGAAAGAACTGGGATCTACATAACGGATTGCTTGCTTACCAAGCCATCCTGCAGCGGTATACATGGGAAGGCAGGCGAGGCCGGGCAATCGCCTCCAGAGGCCTGGCCTTTGGCATGTCGGTTGGGCAATCGCCGCCATTAAGCCTTAGGTCAATCCCTTTACAAGACAAGCACAGAAGCGATCTCGGTTTTATATTCGAAAATCAATAAGATAAAATTGATGACGGGGTCAAAACCATGTAATCGCTATTTGTTACTTTTCCGTTACTTTGTAGAACTTTTTAGAAAGAAGAAGGGAATAAAAAAGAAAAAAACAAGAAAAATATTTTCTAATTTTTGTGGAACTGAAGAAAAGTGGTGGCGACAGAAATGCGGGTAGTGATGGAGGGAGGATTGTGTACTGTTGGTGGAGGCAAATTTTTATATTTGTGGTGATGGTTTGTGATGGTTTGAAATTCTCACAGATTTAAGAAGTGGTGATGGTAATTTTTAGGAGAGAAGAAGAAAGGGGCGGTGGTGGTGCAACAATGGAAAACAAGTAAAAGAGGAAGAAAAGGAACATGCTTAGGGTAGGAGCAATGAATTAGATTAGGAGATAAATTATTTGGTAAGGATGTTATAATAATTAAATGATAAGATAAGCGTATGTTACTGAATAACAAAACATTAAGGATAAAATGTTAAAATTTTAGCTCAACAAAGTTTTTTACCAATAAAAAATTGTACAAAGTAACAAAATGTCAGTGGAAATATTAAATCTAACAGAATTCTCATCAATTTGCATTAAATTGGCAAAAAATTGAAATTTAGATGATGAATTTAGTTTTTCAAAAATATTTTGGGTCAAATTAGCCAGAAACTTGATGTTTTGGGCAAAAGTGATCATTTTCTTAATTAATTTATGATATTGTAGAATGTTACATGGTTAAATCTTATACCCTCAATTTTAATTGGTTGAAGAGAAAACGGTACGGTTCTGTAAAAATGGCCAACGAGACTCTAGATTTTCCTTTATTATTATATAGTACTTCTTCCGTTCCGAATTAAGTGTCGTTTTAGCAAAATAGAAAAATTTCAAAATAAGTGTCGTTCTCACATTTCAATGCACTTTTTGTCCAAAGTTTCCAAAATTACCCTTGAAAGAATTAATATTATTGGTAGATATTTTTTTAATGGGGTTGGTAGAGGATATTCAAGTAATTTTATTACCCTATTTAAGAGTTTGTTAAATTATGTACAAAGTGTAGAATGACACTTATTTTGGTATGGAGGGAGTACATAGTATATACGTTGGTAAGAAAAGGACACGAAAACCTCCACGGCCGTTTTGACTCTTCTCTACTGGAAAAAGCTTCTCATCAGTCATCAGGGAGACATCAACTGGATGATATATACAAAGTCTAATTGAGAGTTTCAATGATCATTCATCGTCTCAGTATTCAGCACAACCTAAACGCCACCCTTATTGCCGAATAATGCAGAACTCGAAGTCAATCCTACTGCTCTCAATTCTATCCTTTCTGCTATGTTCCTCCCTAATTACTTCATCATCTTCAATTCAAGAATCAGAAGCAATTGAATTGTTAATGAACCATTTGGACTCTAATAAAAGATCAAATTCATCAGTTCAAGAAGCTGCAGCAAGAGGGGTACTTCGAAGATTGCTCCCAACCCATTTGGCCAGTTTTGAATTCCAGATTGTCTCCAAGGTGTGTTACTTTCCGTTTTCTTGACCTTTTTTTGAGTTCTGGGATCATCCCATTTTCTGTTAGATTAAACTATGTTGTTAGCATGTTTGCTTGAGAAGGTTGGTTTGATGCATTCTACACCTAGCTTTTCTGTCTTTTCTGGAAATGGAAGAGTACTTCTTTCATTTCTGGTCTGTTGATGATGCTACTAAGAAGTTGGTTTTCTGCTTAAATATGAAAAGTGGATTAAATGATTTATCGAACATGTTTTTTACACACAAGCCATCATGGATATGGAGTTCCAATTTGGTGTGAGTTCTGTTTTTATTTCAATCCTGGCACCATCTTAATATGATGCAAACATTGTTAGTTTGGCTTGCTGGTTTAGAACTTGCACAATCGACCTTAAAATTCTTTCTTGGCCTGAGAATGTTTCAGTGAGTTCAATTATGCATTTTGAAATAAGTTCCAATCTAAGAGATGGAACTTCCACCATGCGACGTATGAACTGGTAAAGAAATATATTTGCAAAAATGACAGTATTTATAGTTTAGTTAGTAAGGATCATTAGTTGGTTCGCCACTGTAATAAAGTGTCGATTGAGTTTCGGATCGTGCTTTTGAAACTGAACAGTGAGCACGGTGGGAATGGGTTTCCGAAGTCTGTCATGCGAAACATGTTTTTGAAATGCAGATAATCAACTTGCTCTCTTTCTGGAGACTAGTGCTACTGCTTTTCTAATGTATGGAATTTATGTCTGCTTCCTTGTGCAAATGTTAGGATATTTGTGGTGGTCGCAGCTGCTTCTGGATACAAAATTACAAGCCTACAAGCAGAACTTCCCCTCAGATATTGTGCGTTTTGTTTTTTGTTTTGTTTTTTTTTTTATTTTAATTTCTTTTTTTAATTTTCTCTGAATGTGGTTTACTTGAAGACTCAATGACGACTCAATGACGTGTTTTGAGTTTTTATATGGTCATCATTTTGGTTGGTTTAGACTTTGGTTTATGAATAAAGTATCAAAAGAAGAAACTCTTGTTCTTTAATCCCTTTCTTTGGGTGGGATGTTTATTACCATGGCACTAGTCAGTGTGATTGGCTTGCTTAAAACATCACTTGGCTACTCTTCATGAAATGTTGTGATGTCGTTACAACTTTTTAGTACCCTATAATCTAACTTCTCAAGTAAATAATTTGCACTATGATTTCGGCTAAGATGCAGTCCTACCATGATGATCCTTCATAAACCATGTACAGAAAACAAATGCGAGTGCATTAACTAAAAAAATGTGATTTCTGGAAGCTGTAAATTGTAAAACTTCCTTTATATGTTAGTTGTCCCTAATGAATCTAATATTTTTAATTTTTTTTTTTCATTTCTACCTAAAATTATAACTTTGACTAGCTACATCAACACTGGCACGTACCATCCTTTGTCAAGGAAGTGGTTTTGATTCCATTCAGTTGAACAAAATGAAATGAAAGCGCTCATAATTTAAAGTGAATGTTGGAATTTCATGTAGGAGTTGATTTGTGTCCTAAGGTGTGTTTATCCTTTCACTAATCATGAACAAGATTTTGAGCTTTTAGGTACCATGTACAAATGGGTCATTGGCCCAAGCCTCTGTGTGCAAGTTGGTTTGAATCGATAGGTTTTAAAAGCCTAAAGCTACCTTCAGTTATTGTTTCATTTACAACTCAGCATTTTGCTCTCTTGCCTGTTTGGGCCCTTACTTTTTCCTTTCAGTTGTTTCTGTTTTCAATTTCCTAATATGTGATTGATGGAACCAACAAAGAGCCAAAATTAAAATGCTGAGAATGCCGTTATCCTGATTTTTCTAATGGAGGACTTTTTCCTACAGAATTCAAGGAACCACTGCCACGGAAATTACAGCTGGTCTACATTGGTATTTAAAGTATTGGTGCTATGCCCATGTTTCATGGGAAAAGACTGGTGGCATTCAGATAGCTTCGGTTCCTAGGCCAGGATCACTACCTCTTGTAAGTGATGAGGGAGTGATGGTTCCGCGTGCAGTACCATGGAACTATTACCAGAATGTTGTCACTTCCAGCTGTAAGCAAGACAGATTCCCTGCATTCTTGTGTTATATGATTTCATCAACTAAATAGCGTTCTTACTTCTTAGTGATAAAGGGTTAACTGGTTAAAAGGATTGTTTCAATTTAATTAACTTTTACTTGGGCTTGCTAAGATTGATGAGACAAGATACCATGCATTTTTTTAACAATGGGGAAAAATTATGTTTCGTCATATGTACTAACAGCTTTAAGGCTGAGGCTGAGGCTGAGGCTGAGGTGCTCTTAAGTGGGACATGCCATCTACTAAGTGGCTTGCTACCAGTCTTGGTTCTTTCCTCATCTATTTTAGGTTTTCGAAGTATCCTTAAGGAAGCAGTTGGCATGGTCTTTAAAAAGTTGGGTAGTTTTTGGCCTTTAAAAAGTTAAAAAAAACTGTAAATGGTTTGCTGAATAACCTCGATGATAATGAGTTCTGTGGTTTGACTTACGTATCATTTCATCTTTTTGAATCCACCAATGACGCTGTTTATTATATATTTCCACGCAGATTCTTTTGCATGGTGGGACTGGGAAAGATGGGAGAAAGAGATTGATTGGATGGCACTTCAAGGAATTAATTTGCCTCTGGCATTTACTGGACAAGAAACCATATGGCAAAAAGTTTTTTCGGTAAGTAGTTACGAGTTTCTTGACCTCATCGAAAGTTTTTTATTGTTCTTCTTTTAGTTTTATTCGATACTTGGATTTTGTTATTATTATATTAAGATGGGAAATATTGAGCAGGACCATTTAGTACTTTGTACAGAGTTGAAACTATCTTACTAAACAATCTTACATGAGAAAAGACATTATTATTTGGGTTTGATGTATAACTAATTTCTCGTACTTTGCCTTTATCTCTTGACGTAAGTTCGTAGTTAGCTCAACTCCCCTGGTTGTATAACAAGCTTGTTGACTGTTCTTCCATTAATACTCTTACTTTTAGTACTGTATTCTATCCATTCATCAGAACCAGTCGCAGTGCATTCTTCATTTAGATAATACTGGATTTGGAGACCTAATGTATCAGTAGATTATATGTATTGTGTTTGCTTCTATTTGCCACATAAGAATATGTGTTTTTTTAACACTCCTGGTTCATGCTGTTGGAAGCAGGATTTTAATATTGCTGCAAAGGATTTGGATGGTTTCTTTGGTGGGCCTGCCTTCCTTGCTTGGGCCCGCATGGGAAATTTACATGGGTGAGCATATCCTTGCAGACTCTATTAGGCAGGCATACTTGTGATACTGTATTCACTATGGGTTGACTTACCAATGGTTTATGATTCACGTGCACCAAACAATTCCTAGTTTAGAAGTTACAGAGCTAAGGCAAAAAGTACTCCATAACCTTGTACTTGGAAACTAGGCAGGATCATGATTAAAGGGTTCAATATGTTGATCGTAAAAGTGTTAAGTTTAAAAATATTAACAATGTCAATGGGATAACTGATGTCAGTTGCCGCCAGTAATGATGGGCACATGATTCTCAAATCAATGATCACTACTTTAGGGTAAGTTCAAAACAAGGACCAGCACTTCCGTAGTACACTTATCTAACAGTTCTTCTGATTATATAGGCCATGTTAGTACTGTAGTATTCAGCAACAAACGCAACCTAGAATGTTATATTATTTTCCTTGTAGCAATGTAGCTTGGATGCCATGATCATTTCCTAAGGTAAATGCTGAGGCATAATCGACTCTCAGGTTGCAACACATAACAGATGATCCATTTGCATTATCAGCTGTAATATTAACAAGAGCAATGCATAAATGAAAGAATTTGTAGCTGTTTTTTCAATGTCCTTGTATGAAAACTTCATGCTCATTTTCATATCATCCATGAACTTAAAAGCGGTTCGCATAAATTGGGAAAAGAATATTTTGATCAATAGGGAATTTAATATTTCAAGGTATTCATGTGCAAGTAAAGTGGAAACCGGAGAGCTTTTGCATCGGATATCATACTTGATATCTATGTTTTTACTTCTCCTCTGTGTCTCTATTGAATTATTTTGCTTATGTCATCATTTGCCATTTGATATATATTTTTCTCAAAGTATTTGGATCACTGTGTGCTACATTACAGGTGGGGTGGACCTTTATCTCAAAATTGGTTGGATAGGCAGTTGTTGTTGCAAAAACAGATACTATCTAGGATGATTGAATTAGGAATGACTCCAGGTATATCTGGTTCAGCATTTCAAGATTTCTCTTTTCTGAGTCTTACAACTTTCTTACTGAAATTTATCATTGTTTTCTTCTAGTACTTCCATCGTTCTCTGGGAACGTTCCAGCAGCACTAAAATCTATCTATCCATCTGCAAACATAACCAGACTTGGAGAATGGTATATCTTACTTTTGGTTCATCATACTCATTTATTTTTTGTTTATTATTTACCATCAATTTGCATATATTTTCTGATTAAGGTTGCTTACTATCACTTAGCTTTAAGTTCTACTTCTCAAATTTACCCTCAAATCAAATTCATGTATCTGTTTTTTGTGCTTGAAAACTTCTGGCATAAAAATTAGGATCTTTTTACTTTGTTTTCATATGGGCATAAATAGATAGAAAAGTCTGCCTTTTGCTATCTCCAATATGTTTTCCGCATCTATATGGGACTGGAAAAACATGAGTTGCTATTTCTTTTCCTTTTTATCATTGCCTAGTGTATAGAATTGTGATGTTGGGAAGCGAAGGCTTTTTGCTCTGTACCTGTTCTCATATTCCTCTATAATTTGGCTTGGGATCTAGGAATGGTTGTATGTTTTTTTCTCATGTTTTCAGTTTTTATTAGGCTGTCTTCAAACATTTTAATTGTTATACTGAGTGTTATTTATGTAATATTACCTTAGGAACACTGTTGATTCTGACCCTCGATGGTGCTGTACTTTCCTTCTTGATCCTTCTGATCCTTTGTTTGTAGAAATTGGGAAGGCTTTTATCATGAAACAGGTTGAAGGTGAGGCATATAGTTTCTTTGAAGGCGTTTATTGTAGATATTACCTCAATTCCATCCCTAAGCATGAAATAATGTGAAATAAAGAAATTGCTTCATTTGAATAGAACTAAGCCTATTCTGATTTTGATTCACATTACTACAAAGTCCCTTTTAGAATGACGCAACAGCAAAATGAATAAATGTTACCATGTCAGGTTGACTTCAAGGATTACATGTTGCCCATCCTGTTCTGTCAATGTGCTTGTTCTTGTTTAGTTTTAAATAATCTTAACTTTTCAATAGTTACTTTTCTTCTGTAATAAATTTCAGGTCTTTCCTTTTCTTTCTTTTTTCCTTTGTTTTTTTTTGGGGTACATTAGAAGAGGCAAAGTGCCTAAAACTAGGTTACAATTCTCCTAGAGTACTCTACTCCTATTACATCATGCGAAAGCCAATATCCGAGACCCGATGGTGGGTGTTGTAGATATTGACAACCCCATGGCGTTGTCGTAGCAAAGGACTTTCTTTTTCTCTTTATAGTTGATTTCATGGTTCTTTCTTTTATTTACACACCTTGCTTGAGCATTTAAAGGTTTCCTGGACGCATCTTCAGACCACCATTATCGTGTCTCTCATTTTCTCACGGGTTGGGGCTAGCTTTAGTTTCCTTAATGCATTTATTGTGCATCCCATCTAATCTAGTTTTTCCAGACATTCATCTCAATTTACCCATTTGCTCCATTCAACTTTTTTGGTTATTTACTTCCATAGTTGTCTAAAGCTTTGATCCGTGAATCATTGCTTGTCCTATGGCTGTTTTATAACTGTAATTTCCGGAAATGAATATCCCTATCATGTAGCTTCAGAAGATTAAGTAGTAATCATGAATTTGGAAAAATCAAAATTTTTAATTCTTGGTGGGCTGAGCTAATTGGAGCTTTATAAAGGATTCTTTATTAAATGGATGTAGCTGATAAAATTCTATGTTGAAGGGCAATTTTTTAATGTTGTTTTCTTTTATTCACGTACATTACCATGTATCTAGATCTACTTCTTCTTGCTGTGGTATTATAAACATGGTCATGTTCGAAGAACTTGAAGATAGTAATATAGATAAGATTTCAATTTCTGCCTTTATAGTTTTACTAACTAAACTTGCCATTTTATTTGCAGAATATGGAGATATAACGAATATCTATAGCTGGTATGTCATGCCAATTCTCTTGAGATTTCTATGATCATTTTCTTTTCTTCATATAGAGAATACTCCTTCCACATGTGAAGTTAGCTTGTTTTGAATTTGGGTTTCCTCAGTTATTTAGGTTGAGGCATGATTGTTTTTGCTTTTCATTGTTCTTCTGATCATAAATTAAAGCGCGATCTTATTTTAGGCGGAGCAGAATTTTTAAATCAAGATTTGGTAAGAGGTCCTGCTGAATGTCTTGGGCATTGTCGTAGATGAAAAAAGCAAGTAAAATGGTTTTTCTTGCCAGAGGTCTAGTTAATTAATATGGTGGTAGGACAGTGGAAATTAGTGAGTGTTTATCTTTAGTAATCAGTCTGCTTCGGGATCTGCAACTAGACTTTTCTGCTTTTCTAGTGTTTCACTCATACTTAATGCTGTCTCCTTGTATACATTTTTTTTTTGGTAAAATATGCGATGATGGTTCCTTGAAAACATGATGTTAACTGTTAATTACTGTGTATCTCTTCATGGCTATTTCATGCTAAAATAGTAGCTCGCTATTGCCTTCTTTCTAAATTTGCTGTCATTCTGAGTCCAAATCTGTAGTACTGTTCCATCTGTGGCCTTCCCCCTAGAGGAGAGGTTGTGCAAGAAAGTCATCTAGTTGCGGTACTAGTTTGCAATGTATAAAGCCGTCCATTCTAGTTTCTCCATGGAGAAAACTTCCGGTACTCTTTTCTGTCTAAGATATAGAACCGGTATTTTTTTATTTTTTTAATTTTTTATTTTTGCAGTGATACCTTCAATGAGAACACACCTCCTACTAATGATCCAGCATATATATCTTCTCTCGGTTCTGCTGTCTATAAAGCGATGTCTGAAGCAGATATAGATGCAGTTTGGCTTATGCAAGTATGTCCACCAAAGTCGCCACTCATTCTCTTTATTTTTACTCCCTTTTCTTTCTGTTTTCAATTTCATTTGAAAGTTTCATCGAGTAATCTTTAAAGAACTTGTAGGATAAGATTTTTTTAATTTGATTGGGATATCAAATATTTTGCTTAAAATTAATCGAATTCTGTGGTAGTTTAACCTTTATTTTCTAGACTGGTTTTACGTTCCCTTCTATTGCGGTTATGCACTTGATATGTAGACAGGATATGCTGCTGCTATTTCATGGAGGGTTTCTCTTATTTAGTAGACCACTCACCAGTTTTAGCCCCTATTGTGTTCTTTTTTACTGTAATTTGGTAGACCAAGCTCCAATTTCCTTGTCTTGTAGTCATGGGGATCTGTCCTTTTTTTCGAAATTACTTAACTCAAGTTTATTTGATTTTATATTTCAAACTTTTTGCAAGTTGACTTGTGTAGTTATGGGGATATCAAAATTTTGTAGTCATGGGGATCTGTCCTTTTTTTACGGTAAGTTGACTTGCGCCTGCTTTTTAGATTTTTTTTTTTTTTTAGGTTAGTTTTAGAATCTCTTGGACAAATCTGAAAGGCGATAATCTTTATTCCTAGAATACCTGAAAACTTTGGTTTTAAATTAAAGGATTAGTCTCCAATCCTAATAAGAGATATGGTTGTTTCATTGCAGTTATGTCTTCCTGGCATCTTTTCATTCAAGATTTTAAAAAAGAAATACTATAAAGTATTTCGATAAAATTCTCATAACTGTCTTGGTTTACACCTGCAGGGTTGGCTATTCTATTCAGATTCTTCTTTTTGGAAACCACCACAGATGAAGGTATGTGTACTTGATAGGTGAAGGCTTTACCTTTTCTAGTTTTGGTCATATTCTCATTGGAGCTTAGTCGTGTCGTATTGTTTCATCACAACATACTGTTACATTTTTCATGTCACTTTTTATGAGACCTTTTAGTCTTCAGAAAGAAGTTTGGTTATCCAAATTCCAAGGTCTTTGAATGAAATTAAGACTCTGCATTCCACCACTATGGAAGCGTTTTCACAGATCTAGCTTGTTTCCTCCCTGAAACCCGAGAGTGTTGACAAGAAAATCTAGGTGAAGTGTACCATAATTCAGTAATATGATAAACAAAGGAAACCTCTTTAAAGGTCAGCCCAGAAAACATAGATAAACTTACATGATATTTAATACAAGTTTTAAATCATCGAGCCAACAGGACTGAGGGACGCATTAATGGGAAGTTCTTGGTTCTTACCCTCCCAAGAAGAAGGAATCTATTGGCATTTGTGGATACTTTAATGTGCTTTCATGGAGATGTTATCTGGTTACTTGCGTGTCGTGTTACATATGTTAACTCTGGAAAATTTCTTAAATTTATAGCACTACCTTCTGATTATGTTTCTAACTTAGGGTGTTCTGTTATACAGTTTTTTTTTCTCTTGATTAACATCTTACTTCCAATATTGTTAGTGTTACTTGTTCGTATCCCTATGTACTTTTAACATGTTCGCTTGCTTTTTGTTGCACAGGCTCTTCTACATTCTGTACCATTTGGGAAGATGATTGTTCTTGACCTCTTTGCCGATGTCAAACCAATATGGAATTATTCGAATCAGTTTTATGGCACTCCTTATATCTGGTAAGGATTGCACACGTTGCTGGATACAATTGGGAAAGAAGTCTGTTATCAAGTGATATTTCCAGGATAGTCTATAATCTGATTTCTCTAGTTACCCATTTGAAAAGCATGGATATTTTCAGCATCTAATTGATCTGTACTTTATCTTTACAATATATTAGGTGTATGCTTCACAACTTTGGAGGCAATATTGAAATGTATGGGATTCTGGATGCAGTAGCTTCTGGTCCTATTGATGCTCGTCTCAGTTACAATTCAACGATGGTATGCTTCGTATCTGCTATGAGAATCTCCGAATTATATTATGTTAAAATGATATATTTTTCTTTGGCCTACTTGTCCAAGACGTGCACAGAAACTGGTTTTTTGAACCTTTGCTTTATATAGACTGTTTTCTCAGTGAATTCTTCACAAGTACACGTCATGAGGAGCTATTTATTGTGCGAGCTTTCTGTAAGGGACGAATGTAAGATGTTGATTTGCAATCTCTGAAGAAGGGTGCTTATCATGTTCTCCTTGTCCCAAAAAAATAAAATAAAATAAAATAAAATTTTAATGATAGTAAAACCCTTGCGCTATGTCGTTTTGTGTACACCGCACCTATATGACTACATCTGGTTGTTGACACACTGGTGTTGAACATAGATTGCACACAACTTAATTCACATTTTTTACATATCAACAGATGACCCATGAGAAAATAAATGATGATGCTTGTTGAACTGATAAACAAATTGCAGATTTTTGCTTAGGTGAAAGACATGATGGAAGCAAACATTCAATTGACTAACTCTAAATTTACTCTTTTATCAATCTCTGTGTATTTTCTGACGCATTATCCATTGAGATAAGATATTTTTCTGTAGAGCATATAAGGAATCGGCAGGCTTTTTGGATACGCTTTTAATTTATTTTTTATTTTTGTTTGAGAAGGTTGGTGTTGGCATGTGCATGGAAGGAATTGAGCATAATCCAGTAGTATATGAGCTTATGTCTGAAATGGCATTTCGAAGTGATCGTTTCCAAGTCGAGGTAACAAATTTTCTAGACTGTGCTATGCATTAGATGAACAAAGTCATGGACATCTCACTGATATCAAGTCTGTATCTTGCTTCCTCATATCAAGTTGGGCTCAGTTCCTTAGAGAATCAGATTATTTGGTGCTTGGACAGAGTATGAATAAGTCTAGAACTGCTTTAAGAGCATACTTAAATTTAAAAATACAAATTCTTACACATGATGCAGTTTAGTTCTAATACAAATTCATTTTTGAGTTTCATGCGTGTACTTCCTTAAATATTGCTGCCATCAGGAGGCAAGTAGAAGACTGACAAAAGAAAGCTTCATATTGTGTTGAATGCGAGAAAGATTGCTGAGCTCTGATTACATAGTACGGTCTAGGCTTGCTAGATCTGATTTTGCATTCTTTACTTTCTTTTACAAGGTTATTAGGAAGTATTGGACTCCTATATTGTCTTGGTGTCTAACTATATGAGGATGTGCGTATCTGATAATTACCAAGTTATGGTACAAACACAGATGATCAAGGTGACAGACATGATATTTGTCTTTCCTGGTCTGTCGCTTAGTTATTGTCTCAGTTGTATATAAAGGTAGTAAAATAATCTAAGATGCTTCTGTGCCAATGTTTACCTTCGAGTGATAGTTCATAAAATGATGTCTTGTAGTAACTTGCTTTAGAAAAGGTTAAACTGAGTTTCTATGATGCATTCCTATAAATAATGACTCCAGAATGGTTTTAATTTTTCTGTAAAATGCACTGCTGCTGTAATTTAATTATTTTCGTAATTTTTGTTTTTCAGGAATGGCTGAAAATTTACAGTCGTAGACGATATGGCAAAGCCATGGATCAGGTTGAAGCTGCTTGGAAAATTCTTCATAGCACAATCTACAATTGTACTGATGGAGTTGCTGTATGTTTTCCAAACCTGTTTTGCAATTTCCATTCAACAAGTTAGTTTTAATCCCAGAAACATTAGGAATACTTTCCTTCTTTTTCATCAATGCATACATTCGGAGAGTTGGTTAGTAAATTGCAACAACAACAACAATAACAATCCTTTTTGGTTAGTAAATTGGAATGCAAAAAATTGTACGCGGAATATGCTTAAAGAATTCAAGATAAAACCTGAAGGAATTGGAGAACCTGAAGGAATCAGAAAGAAACTAGTAAAATTTGATAATATTTGTAGACGTCAATGCCATGCATTTTGATAGAGCACAGTGGTGAGATACGATCCCTGTACCTGACCGTAATGAGTGGAGGTAAAAGCTTGGTTCTTGCTACTTATGCCATGGATTTCAAAGAACTGAAATGTACGATCCTAACTGGCATTAACTGTGAGAGGGGAAAGAGGGAGAGGGAGGGAGAGGCAAATTGATCTCTTCATAGCAATAGTTTCTTCTATTTCGTTTCGAGAAAGAGATGATATAAGGGACCTTTTGCTAAACTCAATTACTTTAACTCAAGTCATAATCTAGAAAATATTATCTCTCTCCCATTTTCCGTGTATGTTAATTGACCGTATGCCAAATCCTTTATATTCTTTGTTTTCTATTCAGCATCTGTAGCCTCTATTTCTGCAGCTCATGTTTCTTCCTTCAATTATCTTCTTTACAGGATCACAACACCGATTACATAGTTAAATTTCCAGATTGGGATCCGTCGTTGAATGCCAGATCTAATGTGCATAAAGATACTCGGATGGAAAAATTTATTGGAATGTACCCAAACCGAAGGTTTATGCTCCATGAGACAGTCTCACCTTTGCCTCAACCTCACTTATGGTATCGGACCGAGGATGTGATTCATGCATTAAAGCTCTTTCTTGATGCAGGTTCTGAACTTGCTGGAAGCCTCACATACAGGTAATTTAATTGCTGTAGGAATTTAAATTGGTTTTATTTTCATGTTCTAGTTGAAGGGCATATCAGTTGCCTTTAAATGTACATGGATATGTCTCTCTTTGCTATCTTTCCTGTCACATATATAAAGCATTGGTTCAAGTGATATTACACCGAAAGTGGCATAACTCGGACAGTTGATTGATTATTCGTACACCTTTGTGCTTGCGTATGAACATTTATAGACTCCGAAAATCTCTTATCTTTTCGTATGAAAGACATTCTTAACATCATCGTGTCGAAAAAGTTCACTGTGTGGCTTATCATATGGTTGATACTTTTGACTATTTACTGCTGGAACTCCAAGCTTACAGCTTAATATACCCAAGAATTACTAACCTGTGCTTGATGTCTGGGTAATGTGTGGAGTCATTTCACTCAGTACTAGCTGGGAACATGTTACTGCGACAAATCACTCGATTGATTTCTAAGTTCAGTTCCTTTAATGTACTTAAAAATTTTCCTGTTAATTTCAAGTACCGTTGCTGCTTGGGTAGGACTCAGGCAGGATTTTTTTTCTTGTTGTTCTATCTCTTTGTTCTATCTATGCATTTTGATTTTTTTCTTGTTGCTAGTTCTCAGATCCTGTATATAGAAATTCATTTTGATATTATCTGTTGCTAGTTCATAGATTGTGTATATAGAAAACCAAACTAGTTAGGTCGGTACATACCTCTTAAAAGATATGAATAGATGTATAGTAGACAAGTGTCTGCTCAAATATGTTGTACTACAGCTCTCTTTTTTTTGTCAGTGAAGGAATGAAGTGGAGCTAGGAGAAGTATGGAATATAAATTGGCTAGGATTGAGACAACAATGTTTCACCCTCAATACGACATAAGATAAACAATAATAAAATTGAGATCAACGTATTAGAAAATCTGTTTTGTCAGAAAGTCATATCCATCTGTGGCCGGCCGAATAGGGATGCAATCAAATTTAAACCGATGATAGATAAAATACTGATTCGTAGCAAAAAGGTGAAGAAAACAAACAGAGAATTGAAAAAGGACAAATGTAATGGTGTTTTAAGAATTAGATACATGCTAATGTTCAGTCAGATTTAATTTGTTGCCTGCATTTACTAAAGTATGATCAGCATTAAGAAAAGTGAAAGTCACATTACTGACTGGATTGGGTTATGGCTTTTACAGGTATGATTTAGTTGACTTGACCAGACAGTCCCTCTCGAAGCTTGCAAACAAGGTATACATGGATGCTGTGAGTGCTTTCCAGAATGAGAATGCCAAATCCTTATGGATACACAGTCAAAAGTTCTTACAACTTATCAAGGACATGGACAATCTTCTTGCTGCCGATGATAACTTCTTACTTGGTAGCTGGCTGGAAAGCGCGAAAAGTTTGGCTGTTACTTCTGATGAGGCAAAGCAGGTCAAGATCACATCTCCTCTTTGCCATTACTTGGAAATCTTAAGATCTGCCAGATTTTTGTCATCATTTTTAATCACATTTCCATTCATAATAATGAAATAGCATTTTCTGTGCTCCTTTTGTTCGGCATATATAGTTCAAATTTTAAAAGCTGAAGCAAAGCTAGAAAATTTATTTTCTCTAAATTTTGCCAACTTGTACTTCTGTACAGAGCATATGATCCTGATCCTGTGGTATTTTACATGATAGCAGATGATATATGAGTTTCTCACCCTTCCTTTTTCTTGTGAAATCTCTCCAGTATGAATGGAATGCCAGAACTCAAGTGACTATGTGGTTTGATACCACAAAAATCAATCAGAGCAAGCTTCATGATTATGGTAATGAGATATTTTATCCATCTTACCTCCTGCTTTGCTTAGCTTAACTATTCTAAAATCCAACATCACGATTGAAGTTTATGCTTCATTCTTTCATGATCAGCAAACAAGCAATGGAGTGGGCTGCTGGACGCATATTATCTGCCGAGAGCCTCAATGTATTTCAGCGAGTTATTGCGAAGCTTAAACCATAACAAGAAGTTCGAGGTCGTTGACTGGAGAAAGAAGTGGATTGCATATTCAAACGATTGGCAAGCAGGCACAGAACTATACCCAGTAAAAGCACACGGTGATGCCTTAGCTATTTCGAAAGCTTTAGTCGACAAGTACCTGAGTTAAACTGCTTATTTTTCCTTTCCTTCTCAGCAAATGGTGAGAGTGGAAGAAGAGATATATGAACATGAATGCTGCAGATGTAAATGAAAAAACCTGTTACCAATTTTCTTCCTCCCATGATATTGTCGTCCGAATCTAATAGTTAAATCTCTGTTTGGATAGTATCATAGTACTAACGTTTTTGGGAAATTTTTTAATTGGGAATGTAAAATGTGTTGGAAATTGAAAAATGAGCATTGAGAATGTATCAAAAAGAAAAAAAAAATACGTTAGAAATTGACAAAAAAAAAATCAAAATATAATCCTAAGCAAAGGTACGTATAAAAGTCATTTTTTCATAATATAATCCCAACAGAGTCTAAGTTTTGGGAATTATTATGCTTTTTCATATGAATATGATATGAAATCGATAAACGTTACATAAATTATGCCGGTTCGACAGATATTAATCCTGAATTTTTAAGTTTGCGTTTAGTCTAAATTTTTGTATTGTATTAAGTTTTGAGAAAGAAAATAATTAAAAGCACTACCTATATTCTTAATTCTATCTAAGTTCTTATAACTGGATAGATGGGGGGCAAAGCTTTTATAGTGAAATTTTTTCGCATACTCTATCCTAGAAAAATAGTTTTATGTTATTTTTTTTTCTTTCTAATTGAATATCACACCATTGTTTACTCTTTGGTCTTTGAGTTTCCTAGAATCGCTCAATATTTCTCTCCCCGAATGCTTTCACTGGCAATATTTGGACTAAGGTAAATCAAGTTTCAATACATCGCAGCTTGTATATTTCAATTTCGTAATTGAAGTCCCAGTTAGCTAGCGGTAATAATAATTATTTTCTCGGTCCTAAAATTATTGTCCAATTTGATATTTCACTTTTAATACAATTTAAACTAAAAATGAAAATTCAAATTGGACAATAATTATAGGACGGAAAGAGTACTAGTTTTGAATGGCCGATTTACAACATTCAACGGGTGATGCACATGAATTTGTCAAAGAGGAATAGGAACAGTATAAATTTGAGTTACTTTGAGAGTTTTTATTACCTATAACCTCGTAAAAGTAACAATGTACATTCACCATTTCACTAAACCTCTATGTAACACACCAAAACGCGATTTGTGTATCAAAATTAAAGGAAAAAAGTGAATTGCGTATAAAGAAAAAATGGAGTGCATATATATAGATATGCAAAGTATGTTGTACATGCGTTCTAAAATCATGTGCATGTTCGTTCCTAACCAAAACCAAACATGGATGTCAAAAACATGTTCATAAAAAGCAAAACATGGATGTCAAAATCACGTGCATAACCACAAGTTAAATCAAACATATTCTTGAAGGCCCAAATATAGGTCCACATGTGATTCCACCTCAAAATCAATTGGCAATGATGGAAGTAGCACATAGGGTATATATGTTGAGTTCAAGAGTCTTCATCCATCCATGTGGGACAAGGGAACATAAAATAATTTCTTTCTTTTCCTTCATTTAACACGCTCCTCTCAAGCCCAATGGATTTGAACGAGCAATTATATATATATATATATTTTTTTTTTCCTGATATTTTTTTTCAGTCTTGCGATCGGTTATTTTCTCGGATAAACTGTCACCTGCCGGGCCAGTCAAAATTTAAAGTCAAACCCCAGATTTCTTCTGTGGGTTGACTAAAGTTTCAAGACCCAATCCACCTCGCCCCACAAGTCCCACATGTTTGCGGATTAAAAGCCGCTCTGATACCATCTTGAAGGCCCAAATATAGGCCCACATGTGGTTCTACCTCAAAACCAATTGACAATGAGGGAATAACACATGAATATATATGTTGACTTCAAGAATTTTCATCCATCCATTTGGGACAAGGGAACATGAGGTAATTTCTTTCTTTTCATTCATTTAACACATATCTCTCGAAATGGAAAAATTCTTATTAAGAGCAACAAGTTTTACAATTTTCTAATAAAGGTGTTTAACTTTTGAAATCCATCTTGAGGGAGTAAAATTATATTAATATAACCTTTACAGAGGGTATTGTTAATGACATAATCTTCCCTTCACAATCACAATTTTGTTTCCTTGTAAATAATTATCCCGATCACGTTGGTTTTTTATTATTATTATTATTATTATTTTTTTACATATCTCAAATCTCCCTCTTCTTAATAAAGAATTACTTTGCCAATGTAAAAGTCACTTAAAGTATAGAAACGTTTGAAAATTTCAAAGTTTATCAAACAATTGAAGAAGGTCGAAAACATCAATCTCTATCTCTACTACAATCACCAAAATTTGGCAAACTAACGCAATACTCCTTCCGTCCTACAAAATAGTTTACCTTATAAATTAAAAATTGTTATTGTGTTTAATACAAATTATAATATCAACTATTTTTTCCTTTTTGGGGACTGATGAAGTAATAGTAATACGTTTAGATTTTTGTTTTTCTATTTGAGATGATTTAGTGGGTGCATCATGTTTCTTCTTTCCGGCCGAAAACCCTAAACCTAGAGTGGATGCTCCTCTTTTCGCTCAAAATGTTAAAGCTAAAGCTGGCTAAAGCTAGTCCGTTTGAAGAAGGTTGTGAAAGCGGGTTGTCCTTGTAATCCCATTACAATAACAAGATATCCAGTATATTCTCAACTCGGTTGGGGTCTGGGAGATCAAGATGTACGCAGTCTTATCCTTATATATCAATATAGAGAGACTGTTTTAGTAGTATGACCCAAGATGCATTGGTGCATTGATAAGACTTTGTTTGTGTATTTGTCCAGTGAATTTGCTTTTACTTTGAATTATACACTTTATTTATTTACTTTTGCATTTAATTTAATTAGTCTTTAAAAATATATATATACATATATATATATTGTCATGGCAATAAGTGCAATTTAATTTTAATTAGTCAGGTATTAATCAACAAACGTTGTAATGTTACTGATTCCAATGTCTTCGTCATGGTGTGGAATGGATTTTCTTCTTAATTAGAACCGAGGTCCGGGAATGCGAGAATGGTAAACTTTATTATCTAAACCAAATTATACACTCTCTCGGGTCCAAATTTTGATTTTTTTTCTAAGTTTTATTTATCGTATTTTTTCAATTAAAAATGAAACCTTAAAAATAACTTTATAATAATAGGCAGAACACAACAAATATGAAAATACATTTTTAAAATTTTATATTTCATCGGAAGAACACAATAAATGAAAGTTAAGAAAAATAATAATGCCTCATAATAACGACATGGGAGTAACGAGAAAGCAATTTTTCTAAATAACTCTAGAAGCAAATATCTAATGCAGGAAGACAAGAAATTTTTTAAAAAAAAAAAAAAGAAAAAGAAAAAATAGGGACGGGGTCTTCTGCGACACACTTTACTTATTACTTCCTCTAGATTTTGTAAATCATATTTTCATCATAGATGATTTTCATATTGAATTTCTTTTTGTATTATTTTTTTTTATAAATTTAATAAATTTGATTGAATTTCCACACAATGAATATTCAAATTAAAATGATACAAAAATTCAAATAAGTAGGCTTTGATGATTACCTATCATAATATTTATCTCTCTACAATCTTCCGTGACATCCCCACAATGAATTCAAAAAATAGACTCTAACTTGATTGACAAATCTATCTATATAACTTAATAATAGAAAAACCAAAGAGAGGAAACTGAGATAGTTTTTCAATTGCCACGTAGGACTAAGAATTTTTTCTATTTTTTGATTTATTAAAAAGGAAAAAAAAAAAGAGAAAAGAACACATTTACTATTTTTCTGTCAATGGCTATATTTTTTTTTTCAATGATTTGATTGACCAAATCAAAACAAAAAGATCATATCAATCCCTTCATATCATATCATAATTTTGAAGTTGAATTTAATTTTTAGTTTTTAAAATCTTAAGAATCCCTAAAACCCTCCATGAATATTTGTTAAGTAACTGCATATCTAATCTTATCGGATCATATCCCAACGTATTGTTCTTATATAATCTCTTTTCAATTTTGAACCCAAATCCTCATTCATTGTCACTGATGCTTGAATTTGCTAACTTCCTATCCATAAACTCTGTAACAGCTACAATCATGTGGTTTTGGGAAAGAAGTATCAATGAAAATTCGGTATCATATCAAAAGAGTGCATCTTGTCAAACGTGTGCATACTGTGGGATGACCATGGATTGACGATTAAAGAGTGGATCTTCCGTCTCCGAGAGTGGACACCCAAATTCTATTCTGCCATCAAAAGAGTTCCCGAGACACCAATTTGTTAATCTTTGGGCTCATAGAAAGCACAAAACTGCGCTTTAGACACAATCACCAACATTGCCGGCCGATAAATCCGGGCAATTGCCGATATGGTAAGCGCGCCTGAAGAATTGAGCTCTGTTCAAGGCTTCGTTGGAGGACATGATTTAGAGAGATCATATTGTAAAGAGGAAATCATGCCCTTTGTGTATTGGAATGAGGAAAGTCTTTTCCTTCAAAAAAAAATACCCAACAAATTGTTTCCATGTTCCAAGATGGTTATCAGGAATACCTCGAGTAATTGGTTCTGGATTGGGGCTAGAAATAAAAATTAGAACAGTGGCAATATGGGAGGAAACTTCAAGAAAGAATTTTGTTAGGAGAGAAAGCAAGCTGCTAATAAAAGGGAGTGCAAAGGTAAAGGAATTTGAATTAACCATTTTTTTGTTCTGTTTTTTTTTTTCGATTTTCTTGTCAGCTTTGTCTACCAATGCTATCGAGTTCACCTTTGTTTTTTTTTTCTTTTTTGAAATCATCGAGTTCACCTTGAGTTGAAAGGAAGATGGATGACATTTATAGTGATAAGATATTTACGAAGCTGTTTTTTGGGTTATATATTATACAAGAAAAGTTTTGGCCTATAACCCTTAGAAATAACCCTTAGATATTTACGAGCTTGGTTTGTTTTGGGATGCATATTAGAAAAAAAAAAAATCATTCCTTTTTCATAGTTTCTAATTGACCACCCAAAATCTATTTTTTTCCTAGTTCTTAATAAAATACTATGGAGGGCAAACACCAAGGATTCCCAAGTAACCACTTTTGAGTAGTTTGTTTTACAAGAGTTCAGAGAGAAAGTTGGCATGATGCGTGAAGTCTTACCTTTTAATATTGTTTAATGTTATAGTAATTCTATTACTCGCATATAGTTACATTACCACTATTCGCATTGTCTCTTTTTTTAAAAAAAAAAAAATTTGATTATCGATACTGCTAATTTCAACTCCCCATTGTGTTTTGCAAGATAATTTGACAAGCCAGAGCAACATAAAAAGGGTTAAAGACCTCACACAATTCAATGACGTCATAACAAAAGTATCGGCACTAATATTATTCCTCTCCTTGAATGGTGCTCAAATAACACTTGCCAACCGGGTACCAAAAGGTCTTTAGTTCTTCTTAACTCAGGGGTCTGTTCATATATTATCTCTATTTAAGTGTACATCATGCTCTCTAGAAGGTATTGGTACTCCATTAGCAAATGCTTCGAACGACCTTTACCGTGACACAAAAAGAAATGTATGACAAAATTCAACACTTCGACGTTTTGATAGTTTATGGAGTTTGGTTTTAGGTTTGAAGGGCCAAGCTCAAAGTGAGACTGAACTATAGCATTTCAGTAAACAAATGTCTTGTACATCGTCTAGTGAGTTTAATATTCTCTTCAATCCTGTTGTCAAGTTTCTTATATCTCTCATATGAGTATGATTTTACATTTAATATATCCCAAAAAAAAATTATGAAAAATTAACTACTTCAAGATACAAATGCAAATTCCTTGAAAAAAATCAAAATACACCAAAATTTTGAGATTCTAAGAATTAAAAACTATATAAAAAAGACTAATTACAAACTTGGAAGATTTTGCTTCCTAATATAAATGTATGATAATAATTAAAAATAATTACCATCAAATAAAAAAATCAGAAAAAAATGCAGTCAAGGGCAATGATCAGAATGTGCAGATTGAATCATTTTTTCCTATTTTTCATTATTATTTTAAAAACTATAAAATGGGGTACTTGAGGCATAAAATAAAATTAAAAAGAAAGTTACCCAAAAATCCTTCAATTTTTAATATAAGTCGGTTGAAACTCAGCCAACAAGATTGATTAATGATCAAATGTCAAAAGTTAATCATTCTATATTATATTAAAAATTAGGTAATCTTTTAAGGCAGCAGAAGTTTTATTTAAATGTAATGATGAGAGATTACAAACCCCTATAGGTATAAATGAAGATTTTATTGGCTCGATAAAACCAGAGAGTAACTTGATTATGTTGTTAAAATGTGTGAATCTGATTATCTGGGATGAAGCATAGATGATTCACAAACAATATTTTGAAACTCTTAACATATCTTGAAAGATATCCTCCAATACTATGATCCAATAATTGTCAGTAAGTCTTTGGCCAGCAGTGTAATCTATTCTTTCGGTGATCCAAAAAGGTATAACTCTGATTCTGGTCATTCAAAAGGGGGTAATTCCATATATTCCTAAACCCTAAACTATTCAAGGAAAAAAATAGCAAGCAAGATTTGTCAATGCATCCATAAAATATTCACATCTATAGAATTACTGCTAAGTTCTTAGATGGACAATGAATATGAGACTTTAGACGGGATCTTCAGCCGAAGAAATTAATTATGTTAGAGAATATTTAGAAACGATTCCAAAAGTTGGAGATGGAAAAATTATTGATCTGAACGATTTGCGGAAATTGAAATATCCAAATACGGTCATTAAATTTGATAGTAATCCTTTTATTGTAATTGTCAATTTTATTTATTCTGATATTAAATAATCTGGACAATTGAGGTTATCTTCAAAATTGCTATGATGATGTCGATACCCTAAACGACCACCTCTTGGACAATATTTGCCAGTTAGAAGGCAGCATGAATATTAAGGACATATGGTTCTCTCTTTATTTTCTCTATAGTATAAAACTTCTGGTCTACCGATCCATAAGTTGAGCTAAAAAAGAATGCTTCGGATAAGTTGTTGAGACATGTTGATTAGTGAGGTGGAAATGGTACTAGGTTTGGGATTTTAAGGTGGGACAACATATCATTGAGTCCAATGTTATCTTAGGCAGCCATGTTAGGGAAAGACTATAAATTCCTCGCATATTTTTTCGCCCTCTGACAAAAAACCTTTCAATTAAAATGAAGAGAAAGTAATTTCCTGAGGCCATATATATTCCATGATGACGATTAACAAGTCTCATGAAAAATTCTTTATCAAGTCCCGATTCTGTCTTCACCTACAAGTTTCGAGAATCGTCAACATTGATAAAATGGTTGATAGTCTTATTAAGTAGTGAAGACAAAGACACCAGTAACAAAATCACTATTGTAGCATACAAACAAGTAACACAATTTATCTTTAATTTAGTCAAAATTTTTTTTCCAATCCTCGATAAATTATTCTTTCAATAACTTTATCTGTCCTGGGCACGGGTTTACATCTAGTTATCGTAATGTTATATCTCTATAGTCTTCCATGACATCCACCCAATTGAAATGATATAAGCCACCGAAAATAGAGAAGGTAGATTAACTAGTTTTTTTTTTTCAAAAAAAAAAAATCCCAAATACAGAATTGGAAGGTAGATTAACTAGGTAGCTCACTTTGTAATAATTTATAACAACTCATTTTCGCTTGTGGTAAGTTGTAAGCACTATCTTTTGCATGTTCTTTTTCTTGCCTCATTACTAAAATTGACGACATGTCAGTCAGATTTTGTCTTGATTTTGTTTGGAAAGAAACAGTTGGAGATGACATGACCAGAAGAGCGCGAATATGGAAGAAGTGATGCTAGGGAATGAATAGGATAACACAAATTTCTTTAATTAAATTTATTCAAATCAATCGTTTTGTTTAGCTTAAGCTGATTCTTGAGCGGTACAGTTCGAAGCATCAAATAAATTGAAAATATGTAACCACATATGCTTAACATGAGACTTGTCTCTTTCGCTGGCTGATTCGGAATCATTCCTGCCCATTGTGTCGATCATTGTTCGTGATATCAACCTAGAGAGGTTAGATTGCTGCAAAATGCAAACCATTTCGTTAATTTCCTTTGATTGCACTGGCTGATGATCAGTAGGAGCAGTGAAATGAGTATGATGAGATGTGGTTACTATTTCCATGTGAATTTCTGGTTTACATTTAGGGCTTAATCAATTGTTCAAATTCTTGTAGTTAAACCATAACAAAGGTTTTAAAAATGTACTTTTTGAAATGGATCAACCCTACTCTAGAGTAATACCTAAAATGTGTGTGATTTTTTGTCTTTTCAGTATTATTATAATGGAACTTTTTTTTTTATCTAGCAACAATTCAATCCGAAAATTGAACTGAAATAAGCCACCAATTGAACTTCGATGCTACAGTACTCACATATATTGAAATGAACAATCACCATAGCACTTTCAGAGTTCTCATTGGAAAAAAAAAACAACAAAACAACAGGAATAATAAACCTTATATTCATGGCATTCTTAACTTTTGGGAAAAGCAAAAATCAGGGTAAACACAAACACGAATAAGTTTCTTAGCTATGGTAAACGAACTAGAAGGAAGCATATCTCCAGCTTGATTAATTTAATACTTCAAAGATAACGAGAAGATAAAGGTACTGGATAGAACTTGGGCTATATATTGAGATGGTTAAAAAATGTCGGCTCAATCATAAAATGATCCGAGACCAAATACAGGTTCTGATGCTCCAATAGACCATATATTACTCCGTTCCATGGTTCAAATGACTTCCACACTAATATATATTCTCAAATCACAATAAAAACAATAATAATAATAGTATTAGTTGTAGTAGTATCCTGTTCCGAAATTAATTATTGTCTAATTTTAATTCTCAATTTTATTATAAATCGAACTAAAATTGAAAAATCTAAACTGGACAATAACTTCGGGACAAGGGGAGTAACATTTTATTGTTGTTCTTACTTTCATTAAAATTTTACTATCACCTGACATGAAAGGAATTCCAAACCAAATACGATAAACACTCTAAGCGTAACAGTTCAGGAAAGGAAAAATACCGCTCCATCTATTCAACAAAACAGTACATATTGAGTTTTAAGATTTACCGATCTCAAAACTCAAACTACGAATTAATTTTCAACGGAGCGATCATAGAGAATCCAATGTTCGCCATCGGTTTCCACCCTGAGATTCTTAATCTTGGCGAACAAGTCAACAGCCCTCTGGACACCTCTGTTGTCGACCTGGTTGAAGTAATCGTGGCCGAAAAGCAGGCCGCCGGGCCGGAGAATCTTGTAAGCCAGGTTAATATCCGTCCAAGCGGAATGAAAATCATGGCCGGCATCAACCTCGATCAAGTCACCGTAAACTCCCCACTGGCAGAAGCTGTCAAGGCCCAGCCCAGTAGCGGACGGCAAGAAGATCACCGACTCCGACGCGTTGGCCTGGATCACGTTCTGCATGAACTGGTAGAGCAGCATGACGTCACCGTTCAGGATTCTGATCTCCCTGTCTTCCTGAAGCAAGGGCCAGCCCCGGAAGTCGTCGACGCAGATGATCTGGGTATCGTGTAGGCCCAACTCGCGGGTCAGCTCCACCATGTGGAGCGCTGACATGCCCAGGAAAGTGCCCACCTCGATTATGATCTTTGGCCTGACCTTCTGGATCAGGTTCCGGAAAACAGCTGCCGTGGATCCCCAGCCCCGGATGTTACTGGGCTGGAGGAGGTTTTCAACGTGGGGTGGCGGGAAATCCGAATAAGGGGAGACTCCGCGGAAGACTCGGTCAATGATGATTTGACGTAAGAGTTTCGGGTTCGGGTTTTGGTGATCAACTGCTTCGGGGCATACGGGCCCGAAACCGTAATGGTCATCGGATTTGATCTCGTGTTCAACGATACCATCATTTTTGGGTTCAACAATGGATTTGGAGGCAGTGTATTTGCCTAAAGAGTAAGCTAAGAAAAGAAGCATAGTGAAAACAATAACTTTGGTGAAGTTGTTTTCAAACCAAATCTTACCGCGCAAAAGCAGTGACTTCGCCGTCGTCGTTGCCGGCGTTGCTTTCCCCATGGTTGCCGCTGGATGGTTATTATGCATGGAAAGATTTTTTATGAGGGTTTTTTTTTCTTTTTTTGTGTTACTCAAATTTGTAATTTGAAGTTGAATGGATTGAATTATGCTAGCAAAATCTGGATATGCGTTGGTACTTATGTAGATGGTACTGAAGAAGGTTTAAAGCCCTGTTGTTGTTAGTTAAAATCAACTAATTAATGAATTGAATTCATGTACCAGTTTCCCTTTTCACTGGGATGTTATAGTTCATCAATTAAAACTTAGGCAGACCTACAACTTTTACGTTGGAGGATCGAGATTAAATATTTCTCGTAGCCTTAGGTTAAAAAATATACATAATTAAAATTCTAGTTAACAACAAAATCATCTCAAATGCATTAGTTTATTTTTAATTTCTTTTCTTTGATTTTTTTTTCCCAACATTTGCTAGTGTGTAGAGTGGGGAGACCACGAATCAACATTAAACATTATTTGCAATTGATTTAAGAAGTATAAATCGTACGAAATGAAAAGTCTAAGAACATTAGTTAGAAATGTGACAACCAATTTTTTTTTTATAACAAGAAATTCCGAGATAAATATAAAAAACATAGTAACTAGCAAAACACAAGGAAAACTTTTATGAAACCCGAAATCAAATTAACGAAGGAAGTAATTGTTAAAAAAAAGAGAGAGATAAGATAGGAAAATGCATCCTTTCTTACTCTGTTTTTTTAACCGCATGAAGATTTAAAGAAAATTGTGAAGCATGAATTTGCCTTAAGGATTAATATGGGCAGGAGCTTGGGTAATCAAATTATATATACTATTTTGGAATGGTACGGGATATTATAACAAAAATTCATGTTTATAAACAAGAAGTAGATTCAAGATTAAAGTAGCCAGAGAGGGGGTGGGGAGAACTTTCTAAAGAAAGAATTTCCGTGTAGTTTACTCCATCCCTTTCCCCGGCAATTACACAACACCAATTCATTCACACAACAAACATAAAGTTATAAATTGATCCTCCTAATTTAATTTAATCCTAGTATAGCCTTGAGATCATCAAATATTGCTATATAGTTTTATACGTTCGAATTATGGTATGTCAAAAATTTTACTAGCATTTAAAGTAAAAAATTTAATGAGATAGAGGGTATACGGCCCAATCTAGGCTCATTTAATTTTTTTTAAAAAAAAATAGCCCAACCGAAATTAGGGAAATCGGGATTTGGGACAATCTCTTCTTCTTTTCCCCTTCGACCTTTCCGGCCACCATTGCCGTGGGGGTCGAATTACAGAAAATCGCTAGTTCGTACTGCTAGCTAGGGTACTCCTACCCCGAAAAATTCCGACCAACCGACTCCTGTAGTTCGCCCTTATGAACTCATTTTCAAATGTCGACTTGTTTAGATACATACATGAATATCCGACTTTCAGTATCAACTGATATAGTTCAACATGCCCAAAAATCTTATTTTATAAAGATTTCTAGAATATAAATAGAACCATCGGCCTTACTTTACAGATTTTTCATACTTTTCAATATTATTTGAATCGTTACACATGTTTGCGTGTCTAGTAATTAGAAGCAATAACATGTGGTCATTTAGTGCATCAAAATCATAATTTGTCGGAAAAATAGCCCTTAATTCAACAATTTTAGTATTTTCATTCTTGATGAGTTGGGTATATAACATTGCAAATTGAAGCGAAATGAGTACGTGCTCGATCAGAAAATATTCAGTGGTATCAATATTAATTTTTCTATCATTCATAATTCTACTTTTCCATCACCGATCTCAAGTTACCATTGACAAAGCTCCTTTATTTTATTTAATAATTGGATTTACCACCTTGTCATACTCACTCTCTATGTCAATCTATAGTTTACATTTGTTTTTTTTTTTAATGTAAAATCACATTCCACCCCTCCTAGATGTGGAGGAAAAAATTAAAAAATAAAGTCAATAATAAGAATCTCGATATAGGGCCCAACAGATAAAAAAGAAGAAATCAGATTTTAGTTTTTTTTTTTTTGGTTGAATTTGAAGTTTTAAATTTTTATTTTTAAATAATTATAAATCAATATAATATGTTTTATAGTATTTTTTTTAATCAATTTTTTTTTCACATTTTTAAACTTTGAAAATTTGACATTACCAAAAATACTCCTGTTGTCACTAAAAAAAATCACCGATTACACACGGCACAAGTCGTGGGTAAATTTACCTTGGAGTCTGTGGATAACTGTTTTAGCCACGGTTTTAACCACAACTTCCAAAACGGGGCTAATTTTCTTGTGGGTAAATTGTTATCCACAGAAGTCAACGATCCGTGGCTATATTAGCCACATTGGAGTTGTGTGTAATTTTGACACCTTCTGTGGATAATATTATTTATGGAATATGTCAAAATTTTAAGTCGTCCACGAAATGTCGTTTCCGTGAATATTTAAGTAAGAACAAATTCCGTGGCAAAAGTTTTTACTGTTAGATCGTGGCTACATCCGTGGTTATTAAGAACCATAAGTTACTGCAGTGAAAAATCCTTAGCCACGACTACATCGTGGATACATGTAATAAAATCTAATGTAAGTTAAACACAGCTTATTTATGGGAGATATTGGCTACAGCATTATTTGTGGATAATTTGCGAAGTATATTAAAGAGATTACCCACGAAATAAGTTGTGGCTAATTCGAATAATAGATTAGCCATGAAATTATTCGTGGATAATTCTTGATTGTATTATTTCCCAAAATCACACAAATCATTGCTAAATTTGATATAATAAGCATAATCATTCTTCTAAACCACCATAAACTTAATAAGTACTTTGATCCAAGTAGAATAAGTTACAATGCCAACCAAAATACATTCCGGATGAACATTAACCAAAATAAAATCATCCACGTTACATATTCTACTCGGTAAACTTTGCACATCATCCGAACATGTAATCCATCAACTAGATTGATTCAAAAGACCCAAAATATGACTATGAACTAGAATCAATCTCAAAATATGATTGAAAACAATCATGGAAGAGTATGGCCATCCTCATCACTCAATGGACATCTGTCAAAATCACTAGCATTTGGATTTGGATTAGTTGGTGTACCTTTCCACCCTTGAGAACCATTTTCGGGCACGGAGGCGAAACTCGGACATGGAACCCCTTTCTCTATACACAGCATATCTAGGACAGAGTCTATCTTTTGAAAGTCAACCTCGTATAGTTTGAAGCTCCGCAGTTAAATGCTCTATTTTATCCTTTTGTTGTCTTTATGGTTGAAGGTGGAGGCACACTTGGCCTTTGACGTCCCAATGAGTAATAGCGGGATGCTTGCGACCCAAGACCATAAAACTTTCTTTTCTTCACACCTCCAGCAGCCTTGTAAAAGATTTCGTGTTCATCTATGACTGGTTTAGACTCTGTTTCTGCAGCAAATGCAACAGCCTCTTGTCGCAATTTCACCACTTTCTCCTATAAGATTTCAAGGCACACAAAAGAATATGTATCAAAAAGATCATGACCTCTATGGACATGCTCAAACTAAAGAAAAACTTGAAAAACATTAATGAGCTAATAGAAAAATGCGTCTCAACAGAGGGCAACAAAACTGAATTTCTGCACTTTCGAAGACACTAGATACATACTCATTTTCAGTAGAATTTCAGAAGGTTCACACAGCCTAAAATGAACTGACCTTATAGAAGGTTCAGAAAATAGTCCAAGTTCCAGAATGAAAGAAGTAACAAGATTAATCTCTCAAATTAATGAGTTCTGAATTTCCAGCATTAAGGTGACAAAAGTATCGAATTCAATGACCATTTATTAGCAAACCATTAGTCCTTTTAACCAGCCATTGAAATATGATAAGCAAAGATGAGTTTCACAAAAAGAAATCAGCGAAAAGGTTAAAAACCCAAAAGAATAGAGACTCCTAAAACAGTACCTTAGACCAGATTTTTCAGACAGTAACTTTCAGATTTTTATGTCATAAAACTATAACATGTTAACAGCAGCACATTGGCAACGACTATAACATGTTAAGACAAGTAACTCAACAGAGAAAAAAACAACTAAACAGAAAAAGGAAATGCATGAAAATGAGATTTTTTGCATCAAAATGAGTTAAGAACTTACATGAGTTTCTTCAGATTTGGGATCAATAAAATGAATGTTATCATGCTCCTCAGTATGTGTGAATGAAAATACTTCATATGGCGCAGGCTCCCGACCTAGGATAACTTCCCATAAATACGACAAAGAGCGTTGGTTTATCAAAAATGGAATTCTAGAAAGTTTGAACAAAAAACCACTGATGAAACACCACTCTTATCTTGATATAAGCACAACTTACCAGTCTTTGCGCATGCTCAAAAAAGGATACCGACCCTCCAGTGTGAGACGATGATCCCTTACTGCTATTGCGATTTTTGGTATTCCTTTCTCTAATCTTACGTCATTCAGGGGTATCCCAGTGAGCCATTAAACCATCCCACACATCTTGTTGAACAAAATGTGGCTTTTCATCCCAATATCTCAAGTTCCTCATGAAGTCGCGATAGCGGTTTGAAGCTAATTCTTCACATGCTACCTTTATTTGTGGCTCCGTCGCAGGCTCCCATATAAAAAAAATTTCTATAAAAATAACAAATATTAATACTTTATTATGTGATAGGAAGTGCAGTAAAACATTGTTCAAAATGATATATTCAAAGGTCATTTTTGAATAAATCATTAATCCTTTTATCATATGGGCATTGAAAGCATTACCTTGAACTCATTCCAATAGAAATCTTTGTAAGTTTGGCTCACTCGTGACCAATTATATGCACCAACTTCTAATCTTTCCAAAAATCTCTCTGTGATTTTTCTTGCACATACACTAGACAAACTTAACCTGTCATAATTGTCAAAAAAATAAATAAAAAAAGAAATTAATAAGATAACACATCACATCTATTTATCAGATACTATTTCTCAAACTTTTTGCATAAAAAAAATTT